AAGTATAAAAAAATATAAACTTTTTTTCATTTCTCGATGGCTTGCTTTGATTAAAATGCATTTTGAATGATCTAAACATTTTTTGAGTAGTGCAGTCGTTCAGAAATCCTAACAATGTCCTAAAATTTTGACGACGTGTTCAAATTAATTTCTGCGAAAGTTGAATATCTTTTTGAATCTCCAAAATCCAGATATCTTTCTCACTTTCTGACGGCTATTTTCAATTTGGCACTTTGAACAAGGCACGAACGTCTTCAGTTTTTATGAAGAATGAATCGAAATTTCAATCAATAATCATCGGTCCTTCTCTCAAATGCGCTCCATTGACAAAAACTGACCCCTTCAGTGGTACAGGTGCAAGTGACGCAAGGAGTCATGTGGGTGGATTCTCCCAAAGCGATTGTCCTTCCATTCATTTCACAGTTTCCTAAGTGCTTACTTCTGTTTTAGGTATTTTTTCAAATCAAACTTCGCTCTTTCCAGTGCGAGAGGTTGATCTGCGGGATGTCGGCGCAGTTGACTTGGGCGTTCCTGAATTGATAATTTTAAAGTTCTCTTTGAAAGGAATATTGAGTAGGAAAATAACAGAAAAAGACAAATTTTACATCAAATCATCAGGAACGTCGAAAACGTTGGGCTGAATCGTCTTCAGATATTTGCTGTTGGCGCAGAAAACTGAGGCCAGCTTCACTTTGCGAATCTCGTTTAGTTGAGCTGAAAAGGTCGAAATTCATGGACTCATACTTTTGTGTCCATAATTTTTTACTCTGCTATAGTCTGTTCAGATTTCGAATGTCAAGTTGTTTTCAAGCTCCGCCCCTAATGGCGCGATAAACCAATCAGAGAGCGAGTCAACCACTGAGCGTTTTCGAATGACGTCATTTTACTTGACATACAGAATGTGAACAAACTACTCTCCAAGTTTTTTTTTTCAAACTCAAAAGGGAGGCTTTTCAAATTCTCATTATGATTGAATATCAAGTCGAGTAAAGTATAACAATATGCAAAAACACAACCAATACATTCAAATCAAAACAAAAATTTCAGCACTTGTGACAGATTTGCGTTGGCAAAAGACGCTTCTTTCTTCTGAAGGTGTGGGCGCTTCGGAGAATTCCTCTATTACCCCCTTTTGAATATAAATAATATAGAAATATGAGAATTATTAGGCAGAAGAGAAACAGAAAAATCTTTCTGAAAATTCAAATGAATAAAGGAATACTGTTGCGAAGAGTTCGAAAAATCGCATCATCCTTCTTTTAAATAAGATTTGGCAAAAGAAATTTTGCAAAATTTGGCAGCGAAATGGAATCGAACCCACCACAGCTCGCACATAGCGCGCGCCCTCATACCACTCTGCCACGAATCAACTGGCATTCCAGCGACACTGCGCGCAACATATTCCCTCTTTCATGCTTTCGCAGATTTCGCGTGCAAACTTCGAGGCTGCATATCTCGAAAACAAGGTCTATTGCGAGAAATTTTTTTCTTGTTCTGGATTCAGGAGACCTCAAAGTACATCTCTGCGAAGTTTCGTCAAAAGTTCAACCGGGGGGTAAAAAACGTTCCCTAGTAAGTGAGTGAATTTAAGGTTAAGAAAATTTGTGTTAAGCCTAGTTATACCTGGAGTGAAACGGGCGGCCGAGTTGTCATTCTCATAATAGAATCGATCACAACGCTTCAGTCGGCCAAACTGTTCGGCAATGATGCAGGACATGGTGGGTCCAAGCTGAATCAAATAGTTTGATTTTAAACAGAGGAAATGTTTCCGATTGTTTAATTCAAATATCATTCTTGAAGAACTACTCGGACCTTGGCAACGCGACCCGGGCGCGATTCGGACTTACGAGAACATTCCTAGTGACCACTTTAGTAGCATCAGGGCTCTCAAATGATCTCTACAATCGCTCAGAAACGTCCGGTTTTTGTTACCGTGGTCCGAGCGTCTACACGTTGTTCAGGGAGCCCTTATTTAAACTATAGCTTTCCAACCACGGAATAATTCTTGCAACAGACTAATTTGGGCTCGTTTCATCCCGGAACAAACTTTATTGAGCGGCTTTTTTTTTGCTGATTCGATAGTCTCCCTAGAATTGCTCAGAAACGTCCGGTTCCCTTACCGAGGCCCTTGACGATTATCTTACTCTAAGAACCACCCACCAAAGCTCCACGGAGCGGCCTTTCGCTGACGAGTCCGGGGAACAGATCGATATCATCGACGGATTCGTAGAGTGACTGGAGAATCTTGATGTTTTCGTTGTCCATCTCGCCCTAAACGAAAATAATATCAATTTTTTCTATTTTATATTAGAAAGAAAGTTAATTTTTCTTCGAGCTTGAGATTTTTTGAAGTTCGCCATAAGACCCACGAATGAATATCTCGAAGGTACGCCTTTCCGGTTTCACCACCCACCTTCAAATCCTCAAACTTGTGAGCCCTTCTCAGACCGCAGAACTCTCTGAAGTCGTTGTAGGGCTGAACGCCGTGATCACGGGCTCTCAAGATGTTCAAAACTGAAAATAAATTGTTGAACCATGGCAAAAAGAGTCCTGACCAATCAGATCCAATCCACTGGTTTTTTCGCCTCGACGCATGAAAAGATGGTTTCTGACGGCGTCGGTGATGTGTCGGTCGAAAGCCATCGAGGGCGTGCCCAGGAGACCCATCAACATCGAATCGAGTCCTAGAGACTCATAAAAAATCAATGGAAGTGGAAAAAAACTCAGAAAACTCAAGAAACCAGTCCAGAGTTGACTCACGGCCAGTGCAAAAAATTAATTGTTAAAGAAATTCGAAAAAAAAAAGATTAGGGTATGAAAAACGGTCCAACGTGGTTTAACGTGTCTCGGTTACAGTACGGTTCAAGATGGGCTTAGACTTCGAAGCTTGAACTTTAAGAATACCTGGTAAACTTTTCTATGCATTTCTTTGTATGCCTAATCGATTAAAATAATTTTTCCAATCTCCTTTTCTTTACATTCGTTTTGATTACCTCCTTTGTCTTTCTCGTAAAGCGGTCCGACATGTCCAAAGTGCTGGGCAAGGTCCACGGGCTCACTCATGTTCCTAGAAAGTTTCACTTATTAGAAAAAGAGAATAATTTTGGAGCCTGACTTATAATTGTAATTCATTCGTGGGAACATTCTTCGGATAAGAGTGTGGCCGAAACGGAAAGCCGCCGTGGCAAAGGGTTGGGAAATGGCTCCATCGCAGGTCGCGTCGTATTCTAGAAACACAACTTTTTTTTCAAAATGCAGGGGTGAGCAAATCTAAAAATTTGCTCATTTTAGAAAAAGTCATTTTCAAAATTTCATACCGGGGATGTCTTAAAAAGTCCAAAAAACTTCATGTAGCCCGATTCGGGCCAGCTTGTCACGATTTTCTTTTGGGGCTATAGAAAACCCACCGAGAAGCTTCCCTTCAAAGCGTGCGACCAGCCTGTGTGCCTTTAACATAACAGAAATTCTAGGCTAAGCGAAAGGCGCATGCACTGACTGGCGGCGCACATCAAAGAAAAGAGTACTGTAGTTCGAAGAAAAATAAAATCGTGACAAGCAGAATGAGCTTAGAACCCAATACACTTCTGCGCAAAATATTCTGACCGCTAAAAAAACAATTAAAAATCCAGTATGTTCTATATTTCCAAATGCTATCACGTCGATTCCGTTTTTTGCGTAAGGAATTTTGATTTGAAGCCAATTTTCGTCAAAATCTTTCCCATCAGTAACAAAAAACATACGCGTGAAGTATCCCGACTTCTTAGGGACGAGGTTTTGGGCGTTGAGAAGGTCGAGGCCGATGAGTTTGGGGAGGAACTCAGCGAAGGTGATGTGCTGCAGCTCGGCGACGACGATCCGTCTTGCTTCCTGGTAGACGATCTCGTCGTTCCAATGGGGGTTCAGGGCGGACAGCTGCATCGCCACGCGGTTGTGCTCCCGCATCATGATCGTGTGCATTATGGTCAGGCCCGGCTGGTGGGAGTTTCTGCAATGGTATTCCCATTGGGTATATGAAAAAAAAAGGGCGAAACTTCGCATTTTTCGTCCCTCAAAATGAAGAAATTTATTTCGTCTTCCGCTGGGTGCGTTTTCAGGTTGATTTTTTTTTTCAATTTTTTTATGGCTTAAAATTTCTTTTTCAGTGAAGTCTTTGGTTTTCAGACACTAATCGTCAAAAATTCCCATGTAATGAGAGAATATACATGAACAATCGCATACCAACCCAAAAAAATTTGGTACTGAAAAAAATCTTCAATGCTTCCGCAGTCCGATTTCCGCGTTCCGAAATGTGAAAAATCAGTTACGCCTATCTCTGTCTACTACTAAATGATTCAAATAAGAGAAGTCATGTTGAGAAATATTTTTTCGGAACATGAAATGCGGAATTTCGCCCATCTCTTGTAGTTTGTTACAAAGGAAAATTTCGTCAGAACCTTCAAAGGTTTTTTCCTAGAGCAACAATGAATTCTCAAAAAGTTCAAGCGCATTATAAACACGTGAAAAATATTTCAAACAATTTCCTACCTCTCATCTCCAGCGACGAAGCACGGCATATGAGGCGATGATCTGCAGTCTTTCTCCTGATTTCCTTGCGGGAGCATCATGTGGCCTTGGCCTGAAAATCAATAAATGTTCTTGAATTCAACAAAACTGATGGCGAGGTAATCTCATAGCCTATAGGATTTCAAAAACGTACCAAAATCGGTAAAGTTCATGAGTCCGCGTGTGAAAAGTCGGAGAGCCTTTGCTTCGCAGGTCGTAGAGCCGTAGAGAACGGACCCATCGATGTAGGCGGTGAGCTGGTTGAGCTGGCCACGGTAACCGAGTTTGAGCTGGCCGAGGAGGGACCTGGCGAAGGGAAGACATCTGAAAACGACTCTTCGTCATAATTCTTGTATTTCAGTCTGTTCAAATTTCTGAATGTCAAGTGTATAGTCCATTCTCGGCTGGCTTGCATGATCATCATTTGAACGGTTGAACTCGCGCAGCAAAACTGGATTCCTTCGACTGCCAATGCGCCTTTAATAAGAGCTCCATTTTATGAATGTTTTATGTATCTTTAGCATTGCGACTAGTTATAGACAATTCCAAAACGAATGGAATAAAAAAAACGAAAGCTTTGTGCCAGAAAAGGAAAAAATCAGAAATGGGGGTCTTATGAAAGGCGCATGAGTAGTCACGCCCAACTACCTTCGCTGCGCAAGTTCAACCAAATGGTTGATCGCCGAAATTCGGGGCGGAGCTTGGGCGCTGGCTTGACACCCAAAATCTGGTCAGACTACAGAAACTCGCCTCGGATCTCCGTTGGGGTAATGAGTTGGGAAGAATGGATCATCTGGCAGGACACGAATCGGCATACAATGCACCGAAATCGTTTCGGGCGAATCGCATCTGAATTATATGGATTTAAAGGCAAGGAGAAATCACTCGCAGACCCGACAGACGTTAGGATTGAAGGTCACTAATGGGTCAAAAGGTGAAAGAAAAAAATGTTAGTCTAAAAATTCATTTATAAAGTCTACTGTCGTTGAATTTCAAGGCGGTTTTTGCATCATTCCCTACATTTTCCCTCCATTCCTCCGGTCAATTCATTACTTATGTGTGAGAAATGAAATTTTGTGTTTGAATTAATGAAACGTTCTTTTCAAGACCAACCTGGTGCAGTTGAGGATCTCATCGTTGGGGCCTCGGGCGACCGGAGAATGGGTCATTTCGTGGTCGAGCAACTGACCGAACTGCATCACCATGTGGGTGAACTTGACGTGGGAGACATCTTTGTCTTCGCAAACCGCGTTGGAAATCTAGAAACTATAAGTAAAAATCCGGAAAACTACAAAAAAAAAAACTAGAAAAATCACTGTAAAATGACGTTTACTCGACCTTTCTAGGGTTGGGCAGAACGTTTCCGCTCTTGGCATGGCTTCGCGGGGCGTCGAAGCCGTCTTCGTAGGTTGGTGGGAGCAAATGTCGGAGTGGCGCGAAAGAGTTACCGTACTCTGGGTACTTGAGGTTGTTGCACCAGCCAGAGTAGGTACGGTATCTGTCAAACAAACAGACTTTATTCTTATAGCCCATTCCGCCCCAGCTTGTCATGATTTGTTTTTCTAACTTTTGTAAAATTTCCAGGTGGTCCTATCCTTATTGAACGGTCCAAAACCCGTTTTTTCGATAACATTCTTGTAGGAAAAGTGCTAGGATAAGGAAAGTTTGGCTCTGGGAGTTATTTTGTAAAAAAAAAGTTTCTGGAGCTTGGAGAGGAAAAAAAATGACCAGCTGGCCCGGAATTGGCTACTCATAGATTATTCCCAAGTTCAAATTTTAAAATCCTTTCTTTTATCGAAAAATTGCTCGCAAGGATGAAGCATGAAAAATTCAAAAAAACATCTAATCTCAACAAACCTTGTAGTATGATCGCAAGGGAGCATTTTCGGGATGCAATCCTCGACGTTTGACTGAAAATTTCTGATCAAAAGGGTCCAAGTCAAATTTCCCTTTTAGTGAAGAAAATCATTTGATATATTCCCTATTCTTCAATGGAAATTTTGTTTTAATGAACCTAAAAACAAACCTTGCCGTCCTCGGACAGGAAAGCCGTGAAGTTGTTGACAAAGTGAGAAACGTCGATTTCCGGCAGAATTCGCTGGAGAGTCGCGATGTCGAGCTTCGGTAGCTGTTCATCCTCCTCCAGGCCTTCTCTGAATTTCTTGATTCCGTTTTTTTCCCCATGATTTCTTCTTATTTTCTTTCTAGAAGGCCAAAAAAACTACAGTTACTGTTATTGTGCATTCCGAGCAAGTTTTAAATTTTCCCCTCCAAGCGACCGAACCATTTTCTTCGAAACGTGCGGCAAATCTCTGTTCATGCGCCTTTAACTTAACCTAAAAACTTCGGTTCTATTAAAGACTCATGCACAGGGTTACGCCGCGCTCATTCCGTAGTTGAAAATGAAATTTTTTTCTTATCAAATTTTTTTCAAATGCTGAAAAAAATAGCGACTATTTAATATTTTTTTCTAAAAAGGCATAAGAGGCATGGAGCGCACCTTCATACACTTTTTTTTTCAATTAGAAAACATTTCAACGTTCATTTCTCGGCAGTCTTTTCTTCGGCTTTTTCAAGGCCTGTTGATTATTCATATAATCGAAAAACGCGTGTACAGCCTCATTTCAAAAAATGGACTAGAATTACAGTTCCACCTTTTTTTCTATGATATTTATAGCCCATTCCGCGCCAGCTTGTCACGATTTTTGTTTCCCTTCAACTAAAAAGTCATTCCGTTCAAAGCGCGCGGCTTATTTCTGTGCATGCGCCTTTCATTTGGCCTAAAAATTCAGCTAAAGCCAAGGGGATCGACGAGAAGGGTTCTATAGCACAAAAAAACATCGTGAGAATATGGCGAGAATAAGCTATATAAAGACCCCTTGACGAGCAGCTTGGTTGTCTCCAGAAGCAACGCCGAGATTTGGGAGACTTGTTTGGCGCCTTCCTTGGCTCGCATCATGTTGGCGTAGGCGAACAGGGGATCGCCTTTTTCAAATCTTCCTTGATCTGGAAAAATGTCCACTCTTTTTCTGTTCTTCATCGGAAGAAAAAGGGCATAAAAATTGACAGAATAAGAAATCGAAAAAGTTTCCCAAGTTTCCCATTTCAGGAAGGATGCAATCAGGAAACTGAAAAATTTCAATCTCCATGTAGAAAATTACTTTTTCGAGTCTTTTCTGTTCGCCTTAGAACATGGCTTATTTATTTTTTTATTTTTTCAGAGCAAATTCTCAAATTTCTGAGTGAAATATTGATAATTGTATAGATATCTTGCTAAAAAAATTCTCACTTTTCTTCAAGTTAGTGACTTCCCTCTTTTGCATGTCCTTGAGGTTCTTTTTAGCCAGAGCCATGACCTGAAAAAATTCATTTTAGGGATGAAGTGGATTTTGGAGTAGCTTTTTTCTGAAAGGATTTTCCCAAAAACTGGCGAAAAATTAAAAAAAAAATTAATGAGGGTAGTTTCTTTTTATCTGTATCACGGCTGGCCTGAGCCATCGAAAGAAGGGTCTTGACACGATAATAAAATAAATAGTGCTTGGTTAAAGGAGAGCGCAGACAGGCCACGCCCCTTAGCGTCCCAAGTCAGCCGTGAACCGACTATGATACAACTGCGCTGTTAGAACTTTGGAAAAAAAGCCCAAAGATACCTATTTCTATCAGAGCGCGTTTTTGATTTTTTCAAAAACTATTCATGAATAAATTACAAATTCTTGGGCTCAAAATCAGTTAAAAGAACCTTCTCGATGGTTTCCTGTCGGATGGGGAACACAGGCTGGCCTTCGGCGTCTCTCCATTCCTCAAGAGAAGGAGCTTCCAAGAAGGAAGAGTTGCAGGAGATTGCCATATTGCTGAAAAGAAGATTGATATTCTGTTCCGATCAAGAAGATCCAACTCGAAGACGTCCTCCTTCATGAAGACGTTAGACTGGATTCGTCGGATGTCGACGTTCGAGCAGATGATTTCGGCCAACTTGGTGTTGCGGATTTCGGCGAGTTGCGATTCGGTAAAGCCGGACTGCGCAAAGTAGTTTTCGTACCAGAAACGGTCACCGCGTCGCGACTGAACTTATCAGTTTTATGGATTGGACTTTATAAATTAAATTCTGAAAAATCGGTTCAAATCCATTCCGATATACTTCATCTAACGGTAAGAATACAACTATACTTCGTTCCAAAACCTTATATTCAGCCCCGAAAAATCTAGTTACTTTCATCCGATCTTTAATCGGGCAAAGTCGGAATGGTGAATAATGGCCGCTAAAAGGGAAAAGCTCAAAAGAGGCCGCAGAAAGAGTCCCCTTTTTAAGCATTCCGTTTTTCTGGGATTTTAAAGGCTCAAGAAATAGTGAAAAAAGGGAGAGGCTGCAAAAATGTTTCATAAAAGCCGATGAAACGGCGCAAAAAGGCAGGAAAAAGGAGCCTTTTTCACCCTTAAAGGAAAATTCTATAGTCTTTTTCCACCTTTTCCGACTTTGCCTATGTAAAAACATTTCCTCCGAAATTCTATCTGGAGTTTAAAGGCGCAAAAACTAATTTCAGAAAAGTTCCTGTGAGGAAGGGCCGTTCTATGACCTTTTAAAAGCAAGATAGATTCTTTAATCACCTCTAAAGATCCTAAAAACTACCGAAAAAAGACGAAATGGACCTAAAAAGAATCACTTTTCATTACGAGTACGTCCAATTCAAAAAAAAACTTCCACTTTTGGTCCATAATACTAAATGAATAATCAGCCTGAAATTTCCTCTAAGACCAAAAACAGACCCTCTGGAACTGTTTTCCGACGATGCAGGCCATCGTGGGTCCGATGAGTGATCCCTTTAGAGGCTTCTCAGCCAAAACTCCGACCAGAAGGTCAATGTCTTCAGGCTTGTCGTAGGCCGAAGAAAGGTACTCGAATTTCACCTCGGGCAGGAAAATCTCCTTGAGGTCGTTGAATGAGGACACCTTAACATTTTTTGATTCATTATTTCATTATTTTCTACTGTCCTAACAAAACTAACTAGAAGAGTAGATTTGAAAGAGATCTACATCAATACCTAATCTAGACCTTTTTTTGGTTTTCCTCGGATTTTTTGTACCCATTAATGTAATAACGGATGGTAAAATGTTAAACGAACCCGTCCAAGACCACAGCCGGATCTGATACTGCTATATCCAGGGATTCCATGATCACGTCCCTGTTTCAACGCTACCGACAGCAAATCCAAACCGATTTCCTGAAAATTTACAATAAGAAGATCAGAAAGATTCAACAGGGAAAACTCCAAATTTAAATAGTTTTTTTGAAAATTATCTTTGAAGTCAAAAATGCTCGGTTTTTCTCATGGAACCGTCTTCAAAGCTCTATCAAATTCAAAACTACAAGAAATTTCGAGACTCAAGTTTCATTTTATTCTAATTTTTCTCAAGCTCATTGAGGGAAGTTTAAGAAACCGGTTTTGAACCGATCCTCTTTAACAAAAAATGAAATATACTTACATTTTAGCAAAGCTAGATTGGTCCCTATAAGAGTTAGGGGAAGAAACAGTCCCTTTGGGAAAAAGGTCCCCTATAGGAGTTTAGGGTCTGACCCTTCTAAAGTTCAAACGCTCCCTATTGGACTCTTCAATCTTTGTTCACATTTGAAAATGGAAAGGACAAATTTGATCGATTTTTCCTTCAAAAACCGCTATTTTATTGAGTTTATGCCATGGAAATACTTCTTATCAGAGTTCATAACAAGAAACGATTAGCTTGTCCTCCCAGCCACTTTTGAAAGCTTTGGTGGCCCCAAAAGGGGAACGTTAAGTGGGCTCTAGAGGGGAGCCTTTAAGGGTCTTATAGAAACCAAAGTTCCGGAGTACATACACGACTCTATACTATAGATCTTACAGAAATTTTTTTCCTCAAAAATTCTACATAGTTCATTTTCATTCCCTCACCAAATTATCCTTGAAGAATCCACTTTTTACTTCATCGTTGGCTCTCAGAGCCGGTTTGTAAATGTTGGTCGATAGAATTTGTCTGAAAAGTGATACATTTCCTGAAAAATCATGTCTTTTACCAACCGAATAATTCCAACAGGTCCTTGATCATAAAGTCTGGAAGGGTTGTTGAAGGAAGTGAACAAGGCGTCGTTTGGAAGGAGTGCCCTGAGAATTATTCTGAGATTCTTGATTTCATCCGCAAAAACGGACCACAAAAAGTATGGGAAAGTGACGGCAAACTCGTTGAGCGTGGCGCCGTCGATGTTCATGTCGTAGTCGGCGTCGAAACCCGATTGGTGGAGTTCAAGACCGTAGGTCCTAGAAGGAATAATAGTAAATATCTAAATCAAGGAAAACGTACAATTTTCATTTGAAAGTTTACTAAAAAGGCTATTTGGCTCAAAGAAATCGATCGATTTTTTGTAAACTTATTCATATCCTAAAACTACCGGATCCTTTCTCCTTTTTTTCAAACTCACTTGAGATTGTCCCTGCCGAGCATGATGGGCAAGAACTCGTTGAAGGTGATGTGCTGGACCTGGGCGGAGACGATCTTGCGGGCCTCCTCGAAGAGTTTGTCGTCGGTCCAATGGCGGTTGAGTTCTCGGAGAGATTCGGCGATCCGATTGTGCTGTCTGATGAAGACCGTGTGCATGGCCGTCACTCCCGGCAGCACGTTGGCGTCGTCGGATCCGGACAGGGCGCATCTGCGACATATCAGGGCTATGGTTAATGTTTCCCGAATTGAAAGGCCATGTAGTCAAAGAGAACTCAAATTATGTAGAAAAATAAAAGACCCGCATGTTCTTGTATAGTCTGTTCAGTTTTTGAATGTCAAGTCGTCGCTCAAGCTCCGTCCCTAATGGTGCGATAAACCAATCAGAGAGCGAGCCATCCACAGAGTGTTTTTCAATGACGTCAGTGAACTTGACATTAAAAATCTGAACAGACTATAGCTATTCGCGCGAATTTTTCACGTTTTCAAAAAGTAGGATAACCACAGAACTTAGAGCTCCCTTGCGCCTTCTAAGACCTGGTATACGGTACTTTGACTCGTAAAAAAAACGTGGCGCTAAAAAGGATATATGGGCTGCCAGAGGTGACTTGTTGCGTACTGTAGCGTGATCGACGCGATTTTTTAACGGGAAAGTTGAAGTCAGAAGTGAGCCAGCATTTTTGAAAAACATTTTTTAAAGCAATCAAAAAATTATATCTTTTTCAATTTTTTGCAAGGTTGCGTCCGTTTTTTTTTGAGTTCCCCCACAAAAGCCGCTTCGCGTACTATTGTCAATCTAACCCTATCGCCTTTCAAGCCCCTGTAATGCATAAAAGAGAAAAAAATTCTCAAAATAAGCTCTCAATCCATCAAAATTGGTATTTTTTGGTTTAGTTAAGTTTCCTGAAGGGGTCCAAGTATGAAGGAACACGTTTTACGGCTTTTTCTATACCAGAAAAAAGAGCAAAACTGATTCCCTCTTTCATGCACACGGCCTGATTATCACCCAAGGAGATCTACCTGAGTTGAATACTATCTAAAAATAGAAAATTTCAAGAAAATGACTAAAAATATCTCCGAAAAAACTCGATGAGAATGAACCTAGAATGAGGAGCCTGGCACTGGAGAGTCGAATCCGTCAGCGGGAGTTCACCGACGTTTCCAGCAGTTCTCAAGAGACCTCAAACATGAAAATTCGTTTCTTTCAAGAAAAAAAGAATTTCTATCTGAAAGGGAGAAAAACCATTGCGGAAAAGGCGGATCTGCTTGGCGCGGTCCATGGCGGAGCCGTAGATGAACGAGGCGTCGAGGAACGACGAGACCTGGTTCATCTGCTCACGCGGGCCCAAGGTACAGGATTTCAGAGGGGCGATCGTGGATCTTGTGTGGGGGATACAGGTCAGCTGGGATCTGTGAAAAACAAAATTTTTCATAGTTTTCTGGGAATAATTCTTAAGAAAGAACAAACTTCTGCATAAGTTTATTCAGAGAAAAATCCTAAAAAAATAATATATGATTAATAGAAACCTGTAGGCCGGGTCAGCAGATGGGATTTCGATTTCGTCGCATTCTGGATGGATGAATCCTTTTTTGCAGCACGGTAGTGGACTACTCGTTCCTGGAATTGGACCATATTCCTGTTCTAAGGAACGAAATAGTGGTCCCTATAGGGTAACCTTAGAGGCCCTTGAAGCTACCCTTCTAGGGATCACTTTACCTCGCCTTTAGAGATCCCTAAAGCTTGAAAAATGACCCCTATAGTGGTTTTGTTAGTGTACCTTATAGGGGAGCATTTACTCGGGACCAGTAAAATTTAACCTTTATAAGCGGCACTCTTTTGCGTCTTAATCCCTATACAGACCACCTCAAGATTCTTAAGATTGTTCTAAAGAAGATTTAGAATCTCGAGAGAGGAACTTTGAACTTATTTGGGCCCTTTTTAACCGAAATTAATAATTCGCGCGTAAACGTTTCGTCATCTTGTTTTAGGAATCATTTCTGAGAATAAATGGCTTCTCCTTCACATCTTATCAAATCATCAAAACCTTTTCTTTTTGATTTTCATGAAATTCATGATTTTTTTCTTGCTTCTCTCGCAAAAATTACTACTTTGAAACAAAAAAAACCTTCATAAACAGCCTGGAATGGGACAATATTGACCAAATCGCTGGCGATGAGCTGCATCCAATGCGCGAACATTGTCGTCACACCTTCATGTTCCTGTAACGTCCATTTTTGACTTATTTTTTCCGAACTTGGTTGCAAACTTGGCCTCTTGGTGTGAAGAGCGTCAATGAGAGGCCTCGTGGCGACGGCAGAGAGCCCGAAGAAGACGTGAGTCGAGGGCTCGAAACTCCTTGAAAAATCATTTTTTTGGTTTTAAATCGAAGAATATTGACAGTGAAGCACTTTGAATGGGTATAAAAAAAAATTCAGTTCTTTTGAAAGGAAGATCATTTTGCTTAGAGGTTGAGAAATTCCAGAAAATTGGCCACGAAACTCATCGATGTACCAAAAAAAGATCCGGAAAATCTCAATCTGTACAACTTTCTGGTTTCTGAAAAGCGAAGGCTCAAAGCCCGGAAAGGGTCTATTTTCACGGGTTTCGAGGATTTTCTTTGACTCTGAGGTTTCCTTTTTCTAAAGCTAGAAATTTGTGCAATTCGAGACTTACGGGATCTTTTTGTGGTACATCAAGAAGTGTTCTGGCCAATTTTCAAGGAATTCCCAACCACAAAATATGATATTGATCTCACTGAGAGAAACTTAGAGCCTTTTAGAAAGTCTTCTAACTTTAAAAAAATCGTGGACCTGCGTCATATATCCGGAAAACTGTTTTGATTTTATTTCACGTCATACCAGAATGATGCTTTTCGAAACACACTAGCGAAAATCTTCGAAAAGACTTATCACGTAAAAATCATCATTTCAACAAAATTACCGTCAGAATAGGCATTTCGGAAAAGACGGGAGAACGGCGAATGGCTGCTGCCCCACTCTGGGTGCACCACATTGTTACAGATCCCAGAGAATGACCTTCAAGAAAATATAAACTAAAATATTGAAATAGGTCATTATCAACCTATAATTGGTAGCGTAGCAATGTTCAATGTTAGGGATTGGACAGGTCGGAATCGAGGAAGATACTTGGCTTGGGGTGACGCCAAACTTCAACTCCCGTTCGCGAAGTCCGAGTCTGGAAATCGGAAAAATAATTCACAGCTTCAATAACTTGAAACTGACGAAGTGAGCCTTTTAGTGATGGCAACAGAGGCAAAAGCGGCTCTGCTCCTTTCGGCGGCTTTTTTGTCCGCCTTATGAACTCGTGTCCACTGCGAGACACTGGTGGCGAGGGGATGACCTTGAAAAAAAAAGGCCTTTGAAGCAGCAAAAAAGATATAATGAAATAAAGAAGCCATGAACTCTGGAAAGCTAGAGAGCGTTCAAAAAAACAAAAAGAGCAGATCTTTAAATTTTTCTTTTTATTTACCAGCGCATTCTAGCTTTCGAAATCTAGCCCCCTTTCGAAGGTTCATGGCTTGGAGGTTCAGGCATATATCTGATTCAGGGCAGGCTTGAGCCATCAAAAAGGGTCCTGACGCGATAAGAAAAGAGACAGCGCTTTTTTGGTGGAGGTCGCAGACAGGCCACGCCTCTTTGCGCCCCAAGCTATCCGTAAATCGACTTCAGACGCAAAAAAATTATTTCAAACTTTGCACGTCACTCACGGTGAAAACCACGTACAAAACAGCTTAAATTACGTCAAAAGTTCCAGTTTAATTTTTCTAATTTTCACGCATCCTTTAATACCTGAATATTGGTATGCAACATCGGAAAAGTCGAAAATGCGGTCAGTTTCCTTCGAGGCTTCTTTGGAGGCAACGAAAAGCAAGCCGTCAGGTACCCGGTGACTCACAAAATGTCCTGAAAAAATGCAATCAGCTTTAAAAAAACTCTGGGCCCTGTCACAAAAAATATCCTGAACATTATGAATTTTTCAATAAAAATTCCAAGCTCCCGGTAAAATAAAATTTGTGAAGTTTACCCACTTTTTTTGGCTTCAACTTTCAAGTCTCAACACTCCTCGCTTCAGAAACCGTTTCAAAAAAGCTGGAGAATAGAAGCAAAAACAATGATTTTTGTCCTTTCGAATTGAATCACCAGAATCGGAAGATTGTTCGTGGGCATGGTTGAGGATGTCGTTCTCGCAAGGGATGAAGGCCTTCCCGCAGGGGATGTTGGACGCCTCGACGGCAAGTGACGTCACCAACAGGCCAACGACGGCCGCCGGAAGCAGCGCCGTCCTACGCCTTTCACGCATCTTCAAACACGAAGAAAAAAAATTAATTAATCGAAAACTATTACTGAAAAACGGGGAGTTAGTGAACGAGTAGTTTAACTTAAACTTGAGAAAAACAATAAATTATTATGACCTTCAAATCTAAAAATTTATATTACATAAGGGCTTCAAATATGAAATAAAGAAAGTTCAATCTGTTCAAAATTGATTTCTCGTTACCTTATACCAAAAATCGAGAGGTTGACTATGAAAAGCTACGACAAACTGATTATCAAGGAATCTTCCATATTCTTTTTTGGATGCAAAAGTAAAAGGATATGCAGATATTAGCAAAAAAAAAATCATAATACCCAAAATCGTGAAAAAAAAAACCCACAGCCTCACTGGAAAGCGATAATGAACATTTCAAGAAGTCCCAATTTTTTCCAAATATTCAGAAAGTCCCCAGACTTCCGATCAATTAAAATAAACGGATAAAGCGGCGTGTTTAGCCTTTGATATTTGGAAGATCAAGGAGGAACCGGCTTTGGGTGATAAATGAAACGGAGAAGCTAAAAATATCTGCCTTTCTTGTCTATGTCTATTTCGCAATCAAAAAAAAGAAATGAGAGCTCTCCGTACTTTTTGGAGTCCAAAAAATCGAAAATCATGGTTCAAAATTATTTTTTATCATCAAAATAACGATTATTCAGAAAATTCGTCACGCAGTGGCTCAAAGAATGTTGTTATAGCCGATTTAACATTAGACAAATAGCTCTGACGATTTTCGATGGCGCACCGCGCAAACCGTTTTAGGTCGGGCGCAATCAAAACCGAGTCGTAAACGTTATGCATGAGTGGGCTCAACTCATTTTTTTTCCGGTTAATTTTTAAGTTTATAATACACGGACTCATCACCTACTTCACAGTAATTTCTCAAATCTTTTTGATTATCAAAACTCTCTACGTTTATCAGATAACATTCACACAAAAAAAAGACAAAAACAACAACAAAAAAAAAGAAGAATAAGTCCAGAATTGGGATGAGAACCTGTCGTACGGTCACTGCACTTTTCGTTTCCCCAAAAACGCGTCCGAAGCTTCTCCTCCTCAGTCTCTTATTTCTTTCTCTTTTTTTTCTCATTTGGCCGACGCTGCGTAACCACAAGATCCAGACCGCCGCGTAATTACCGTTCGTTTGCGTCAGAACGAGAAAAAAGATGGAAAAGAAGGGAGAAGCGTTGCAAATTCAGACATCTACAGCTGTGATCTCGAGTACTCTCGAATTGGAGTTAAAAAAATTCTGACTTCAAAATTCTTAAAACTTTTTTTGTACTTTTTCAAACTATGCCTTCAATAAAATGAAGGAATTTGTAAAAGTGGTAATAATTTTTTTCATTTCAGCTCATCAACTGAAAAAAATATAAAGGTATTAAACCAAACTCTCGTTTTTTTATATGGTTTTAACTTAAGACTGAAAAACTCAAAAACCTAAAAAAAGAAGACTTTGATAAACTGTTAGGAAAGCTGTAAGGAATAAAAATCTTTGAAAAGGGATTATATGAACCAAAAATAGCGATGTGCCGAGGAATGACCAAAATATTTGAGTTAAAAATTTACGACCAAAACGCGATGCTTTCTGAGAAGGTTTTGTTAAGATTTGAAGGAAGAAGCTCCCAAAAACGAAAACCAACAGTTTTTGATATATTAAGAAAAGAAAAGGAACAAAAGAGGAATCAATGGGGAAAAAAAACCTAGACAGTTTCAAAAAAAGGGACCTTTTCTGAACGAAGACGAGGTTATTTATAAATTAAGCTGTTTTTGTTTTTTGGATGAAAGGTATACTTGTAAAGTATACCTACTTTCTGAGTACAAAATAAATAATTTCTTAAACTAAGGATTTTTTTTACTTACAAACTATGAGGATTAGAGTCGTTAAAGTTCATTAGTTTTTTTTTTGAGACTCTAACTGATCTAATTTGAGAGTCTATGGTAACAGATAAAAGTTCACTTTAAAATGAAGCGGCTACCATTCTGTAACCGATATCTACTCAGCTAAAACGTTGCATTCAAATGAGATGACGGAAAAGAAAAAACCGCGTAAAAACCACCCGAATTAAGGCAAAATCCCTCGGAGCGAAAAGAAACGGTTCGGTTTTTCAATGGCACAAAAGAAGAGAATGAGGATAAAAAAAGAAGATGGCATCGATGGCAGAACACGTTGCATAAGAGACGATCGCCAACGGCAATATCGGCGATAAGCGTCGCCTCGGAGGGGGGCGGATGAAGAAAGGGAAGAAGCCGACGACGATGGCTGGACGGATTCTGATGGATCCATGTGGCTAGTTCTCTTCATCAAGTCTATAACTAATGAAGCTACTGCAAAAAGTTTTGTCGACCTTTTTTCAGGGCGATTCTTCATTCTAAACACAATTTTTCAGAGATTTGAAATCCTGAGATAATTCTTCAGGGTGAACTGAAAAGTTCTACGTCTTTTCTTACCAGAGAATTTTCTCTGGTCGCATTTTTTGAAGTTTTTTTTTCACAGGCCTCGTCGACTGTTTTTTAAACCAAATTTAGAATCAGCTTGAAAAACTACGCCTTGTGAACGCCGTCTTTTTCAGAAGTCGACCAGAGACCATTCTTTTTGTGTTGGCCGAGCCGAGGCGGCGGCGAAGCGTCGCGTGCGATGTCGCACTGTCTTCTAAACATATCAGAACGCTTTCCGCACTCTTTCGAAACGTCAAACGCGCAACTTTTGAAATCACAATAATTCAATTAGTTTTTGAAGCAAAACTGTAGTAAAACTTGAAAATAACGCAAAATAATGTCCTCAAAATTGTAAATGACCAATCTGAAAATTTTATAAAAAAATAGTTTAACGTCATCAGTCTTTTTTTAAATAAAAAGATGAAAAATCAAATTTATGGATTGAAGAAGAAATTCTGTATAAGGGAAAACTTTAAAAATTCGAAAAATTTGAAAAGTGGAAATTTTCCTTCTTTTTAATTAATTTTTTGGCCTAATCATTTTCGATCTTAAAAGGGATGCTGAACGTTTTCATTTTGAAAAAGATTCAAGTTTAAGAACCTGTCAATTTATTAGGAAGGTCTGGTCCTTCTATTTAAACTTTATTTAAGTTTCACCTAAACCATAACTCTTACAAGCCATTCTTCTCAAACAAACTAGAAGTTAAACAGGCTCATTTCGAACTGGTCGAGACCACCCAGCGTCAAGATTCCCACTCAAAGTGGCTTCAATCAAAAAATCAGAAGCCAAAAAAGCGGCTCTTCGGGTCAAATCCTCGTCTTATTCAAGTCTAATTTACACGAGTGTTGCCTCGCATTCAACGGCTGACCCGTTTCCTCGGTTGAACGGCTTTTCAATCGGAGAGGCTAGACTTCCTCGAAAAAAGTGCATACATACAAATCTGTTAGTCACTGGTCAATGAACTTTCGAGGGGGAGAAAAAATGGTTCAAAGCAATTGAAAGTTCAGGATTGGAGAAAGGTGACGGAATCACTGTTCAAAGAACTTCGGATCCGAAGAATTCGTTCTGAGAAAGAGAAATATTGAAAATTTCGTTCACGATAATGTAGTTAGTGCCAAAAAAAGACTCTAAAGCCCTAGAAGGTTCTCATAAAACTCAACAACTGGGAAAATCTCTGAAGCTTAGGAAAATAAATTTGGTTTCAGACTAAGAAAAATTACTCTGCTGGTTCGATAATTCAGAAGAAAGGTCAAGATCCTCGAAGAATACCTTTATTTGATTGAAAAAAAAAAATTAAAATAGTGACTCAAGAAAGAGTTGGAGCTCTAGTCAATGGGGAAAAGTTGAAAGAGTTAGGTTTTGTCACGGGTAAGAATAAATAAAATTCAAGATTTGGATAGTCGCCCCTTTTGCTAACTTCTTGAAATTTTCAAATTGAGCATCATTTTTCAGTGAATGTGCCTCTTCGAATCCAAAAGCTTCAGCAAACTCTGTCCTAATCGCATGCAAAAATAATCCGAAGAAAAAAGAAGACAAAGTAATCAAGGAGGATCAAGGGCGACACTCAATCTCAACAACTACATGCGATAACATCCGACCGAACCGGTTTGCCATGGGAGAAGCGACGTGGATCAACTGACCGCCGTCGGCGGCTTCGGATAATCAAAAAACGCTGGAAGAGACGATTCTAGAGAAACCCAAACACGCAAAAACAACCATAATGGAAGCTTCTTGTGGCCGCGTGACTTGGGTCGACTTTCTAACTTCATCTGATGAATCTCCAAAAATTCTTAAAATGCAAGCTCCATCGACTTGAAAACCGAGCCAGCCAAGATTCTCGTGGTAATAAGACGACAAGGGCCGAAAATTGATATTTTTATGATCAAAGATTTTTTTAGTCTTTCAGCTTGCCAAAGGCAGCTTCAGAGAACACTTGATCTTTATCAATGGCTCCAACAAATGATGAGCTTTGAAATGTAAAAAAGGAGAACTAAAACTACGGCTTTCTAGACTGGCAGCAGCTCTGAAAGTTCCCGAAGCTTCTACTAAATTCCCTCCATCTCATATCCCCACAGAAGACATCGCAAAAGCCGGAAGGTGAATCTGAAGCAGAATAGAAAGGAGAAGTGGCAGCGAAGATAAAAAAAGGCCCTCGAATCGCCTCGTGGCTTCTCTTTTATGCCCTACGGCCCAGGCGGAAAAGCCCTCGATCCTCCTCGCTAAACTTCGGACAAAGATAGGCGGGGAGGTCGGAGTCGAACGATGGACTGTCGACGTCACCCGGGCCCGCCCCCTCGACACATCCATTCACCTCCCAATCGGTGCTTTCTCCCTCCGATGATGATGGACCATGTGCAAACAGGCTTTCCGAATCATGTCTAAACATTATGCAATCGAAATACAGAAGATCTTCGCGCCCATCTCGTTTTCATTGCCCATATGCGGGCAGAGGGCTGTCACTCGCCACGAGAAGGAAAAGCGGTTCATCTATACGGTTTGATCTTGACCGCATCATTGTGAGCCGCAGCATTTGAGAAAGGCTGATCCAGGGAAAAACTCAGAAAAAGTTTGTTTGACTTCGGACCATAGATGGGCAAGTACAGAACTCATTCAGCCCGGAGACGGGGTTGCTTACAAGATTTTGGGAGAACGGAATATAATAAAGTTTCAACCTCAGGGAGGTAGTTTCGGCCACAATAATACAAGTTTTAGCCTCAGGGAGGTAGCATTAACTTTAATTTAGGGAAACTTGGGAGGAGGGGTCGGCGGCCTTCTAAATTGGTCTGCACTTCAGATGTCAAAGAAGAAGAAGGTCTTCCTTATCAGTATTCCTTAATCCACTTCTTAGAGGTATGATCTTTTGTCTAGGATGAGCAGTGGTCCCAAGAGAAAAATCATACTTCTTTCAAATAGTCGGACATTTTTGGTTTTCCTCAGACTTTTCTCAATAATCAAAGACATGATCAAGCACTAATGGATCTATGGCTTGTGAACGTCCTCAGAGCCGGGAAAATTGAAAAAAAATTCTCATGAAGATTGAAACTCTAAGCATTTTGAGGAGTACCGCTAGATGTCTTCAGAATGAAAAACCTTCAAAATCTTTGCCAAGATTCTCAGAAGTCAGAAGTCTTTATTAACAAAGTGACCGGTTCTGGAAATCCTCAGGAGGCTGCTCAAAGCTGATCTTGATGGCCTTTATGACTATCACATTCTCTGGTTTTCGACAAGATCGATTGAAGCCCTGATGATCGTATACTTAGTATTACCGATTTGCAAATAATGGTCTGTAATATGAGCGTCCGGAAAAGAACAATAAAATCTTTGAAGATCTCATTATTAAAACCTAATAGCATTACCAAAACTGCTCTAGTTCCCTAGAGATAGGTTCAGGAAAATCCGTCGATATACTAATAAAAAAAACAAACCTTTCTCGACTTTTTTTCTTGTCAACATAACTGCTTTTGGGAAAATTTCTTTATTTGCTCTTCAATCTGTCAAAATGTACAAGGAAATTACAGGTGGAAAAAAGCGGATCAGTTACCGCGTTTCCACTTGGCGAGGAAGGACTCGAGTTTCATTGCGGCGCTCATATCGCCCGATATTTTCAGAGTTTTCGTCATGAACGCCGTCGTTGGCTTCAGGTGACCGGTGAAGATCTTGACAAAGTCCGTGGCCGGGACGGTGAAACTGGAAAGATTGTTTGGAAAAATATAGTTTCGGAATAGAAACTCACTGGACATTCGCATTATTTCTTTGACCTTCAGAAATTGTACCAGCACCGTTTTTCAAATCTAGAGTGATTTCCTTTGAAACATCACCTGAAAAGGATAAAGAATTCAGATATTATTTTTTTCGGGCACGGAGACTTTTTTTGGTTTTCTTGAAAAATTTTAAAGCAACAAAAAAATTTGCGCGAAATACAAAAAAAAAACAGCCATCTTTTTGACTTTCTAACGTTTTTCAAAGTTTCGCACAATCCCACAAAATTCAAATAACCCTACAGAAAGCTCTTAAGACGCTACTAACGGTGCACGAGTATCACTCAAGACGCAAGATTTTAGAGGTTACAAAAAATGAAATCGTCAAGAAAAAATTCAATTTTTGAAATTTCAGAGACTTTTTCTTCACGTCATACCTGTCAAAGTGAAATGATAAACGAATCCAACGCGTTTCACAATTTCATTGCTCAGCAAATCCTTCATGGATTTCAAAACCCGGTTGACTTCCTCAGCGACTACGGCCTGAGAACCAGTTCTTTTTTTGAGAGAAAAAAAAATCCAGATTTGTGAAATAGACGGAAAAAAGCATGGAAAATAGGTTTTGCAGGGATCTAACAAACTGTCAACTCTATGTAAAACTGAAAAAGCAGCAGTTATGTGTACCTTTTCATGAGATGCCCTTATTTCCTGACGCGGTTTCGGCTTGGTGAACATCGACTCGTAGTGCTCAGCCGGAATGAAAAAGTCTGGAGTCAAGGGCGCTCCTGGAAATTTCCAAGGAGTTTTCCAAGACAATCTGGAGAGTTTACCAGGTACACACGCATACTTGTCAAAGTTGGTGACGCCTTCTGCTCGAAGGACGTCTTCGTCGATGGCAAAGTTGCCGGTGTAGTCCCTGCTGTTCTTGGAGAGGACGGCGTAGGCAGCGTCGGCCATTATTTCTGGCTAAAATTATTTTTTAGGGTACAAGGATCTTCATCAAATTCGTAAAAAAGCCCAAACCGCAAAGTATAATGACCTCCCTAGGGGTTATTTTCTTAGTCATAAAAATCTCAAGCAGGGGTCATATTTCCCTTCTAGTCCGCAAAAATTATGAATTTCAAGGTTACCGGCTGTCAAGGGAATCAATTACGACGCGTAAAGGTTATTACATGAAAATTATAATGGGGAAAAGCAGAGTATAAAAAAGAAAAGCTCAAATATTCCAAAGCAAATTTCACAAAGCTTACTTTCCTACAGCCAGCCTCGCCGCCCTTGTGGCTGAGCATTTTCATGGCTGCGGTCCAGATGGCGGTTAGAGGCCAGAGAGCGTTGACGGCGACGCCAAACTGTCGGAACTCTTCGTGCTGGCCCAGAACGCACATCGACATTCCGTACTTGGCCATGGTGTAGGCGACGTGGTTGGAGAACCACTGGGCGTCCATCAAAAGCGGCGGCGAAATGTTCAGAACGTGGGGATTCGAACCTTGTTTCAGGTATGGTAGGCAGGTTTTCGTCCTGAAATACTCGAGGTTCAACAAAAAAATTGAACCAGGAGGAAAACCCTACATCAAATAAGTACCCCTGGTGTTGATCGAGTGCATCAGGTCGTATCTTTTCAGATCCGTGTCCTCAGTGTTTGTTAGTGATATCGCTGATGCATTATTCACCAAAATATCAATCCCGCCGAACTCCTAAACCCTTCCACTCTTCTTTCGAAGCTTTTCATTTCACCCAACCTTCACCGTACTTTCTACGCATGATTTCACAGAATCCTCGTGACGAACGTCTACAACACATGGAAGCGCTTTACCTCCAAGCTGAAAAAAAAAAATAATAAACTATAAAAGTTGAGTAAAAAATTCATACCTTCTCAATCTCTTCGGCGACTGTGTAAATCGTTCCAGGAAGCTTGGGGTGAGCGGTGGTTGTTTTTGCAGCAATAACGATGTTCGCACCGTCCTTAACTTCATGATTGAGACACAGAACAGAATGGAAATACAACCTTTGCCAGTTTCAAAGCTATTTCCCTGCCGATTCCTCGAGATGCACCCGTTATAACAACTGTGCGGCCAACAAATTTACTGAAATCTTGAAATTAATTGATCGAATTCAAAAAAAACACAAACCTCGTGTTGAACATCCCTAATTATTAAATAAATATCAGAAAGAGTTTCTAAAAAAATCAGAAAAAAATATATTGGACTACTGTAAACCTCTGTAGTTCATAAAGCAAAGAGTGCTCTTGCGGTGTTTGCATTACATCTCACGAGAATTCATATTGTTTTCATGACTTTTCAATTTCATTGTTTTCCTGTATTTATCTATAGATCTAGCGCTTTTGTGATAGTTTTGTTTTTCTGAAGTGTTTTAAATAGTATTTCAGCCTCATACATGGTGCTTTCATCGCAAGTTTTTCGCCAATTTCACATTGAAAAGTAATATTTCAGTTATGGTCGTGGAAGTTCCTTTAAAAGAGAAGTTGGACGAAGTTGACGTTTTCCTTGCAACTCAAGATGGACAAGTTCAACGTGGCAAAGATCCGAAGTTTTGTCGGCATGGCGCACGGCAGAAATGTACGCATTGCTTGCCCGTTGATGTGAGTTCTTTTAATAATTATTCCGTTCATAAAAATGTCTTTTCAGCCCTATGATGAGGAATACTTGAAAGAGAAGGAGATAAAACACATGTCTTTTCACTCGTACATCCGAAAACTGACAGCTGGTCATGGAAAAGGAACACATTTGAAGAAACCGTTGGAGAATCTGCGGTTAGTTTGTATTAGATATTTATAAATTTACTTGAATTTTCAGATGTTCTATTGATCTGGAATGCACAGCGCATAAGACATTCCCAAAAGGTATCTGCACGAAATGCAAGCCTCCAGTGGTCACTTTGAATCGGCAGGTTGGATATTTTTTCAAAGATTGGAGATAATTTCAAATATTTCAGAAATATCGTCACGTTGACAACGTGCAAATCGAAAATCAAGAGCTGGTCAACTCATTTTTGAACTACTGGAGAGTTTCTGGTCATCAAAGACTCGGTTTTTTGATCGGAAAGTAAGAATAGAGAAAGGAAACAGTTGGTAAAGAAAAGATTCAGGTATCAGCCGTTTTCCGACGTTCCACTGGGGATCAAAGCAACGGTTGCGGCGATTTACGAGCCTCCACAGACTTCGAAATCAGATGGCGTCGCGTTGCTCAACGATCCAAATGAAACGGTTTATCCTTTTTGTTTTATGCGTAAAGTTATAAAATTGAATTCCAGGAGGTTGATAAGCTCCTCTCTTGGCTGGGTCTCCAACGCGTTGGATGGATATTCACGGACCTTTGGACGGCCGACAGATCCGAAGGAACCGTTCATTGCACCAGGCACAAGGTTTTCAATTATCCAAATCGTTTTACATATTAGAAAAAAATTATAATTACCATGAAAAAAACTATTTTTAAATAAACTGTATTTAAATAAAATTAAAAATTTTTTTATTGATTCCGATTACCCTTATTTTTTCCAGGACTCATACTTCTTGAGCGCCGAGGAATGCATCACGGCCGGAAATCTTCAGAATAAATTCAAAAACCTCACCGAATACTGTACTGACCGTTATTTCGGGTCAAAGTTCGTGACGATTGTCGCCAGTGGCGATGAAACTCTCCACGTTAACTTCCACGGTTACCAGGTAAATTCAATACAAAATAACAGTGTTTTTTATAACTTTTTTCTTTGAGAGCTGTGAAAATTTTAAGAGTTTTCAATGGGCTAGGCGCAGACTTTTTCTGCGCCATTCGGGTTTAGGCTGAGTTGGAAAAAAAGGGGCGTTTCTTTAATTTCAATTAACTTTAGGATTAATTTTATAGAAGATTTTTTTTTTGGTTCATAGCTCTCCCGTTGGAGGTTTTTTTTTACTTTACTCTTAGGAATTACTTGAAAATTGGCCCTTTATATACCAGAAACATTCTGAAAGTCTCAACTAGCACAAGAATTTAGCTTTTCGAAAAACCTTCGGAAATTGCCTATTTTTACGTATTTTGAGAAGTCCTTTCTCATAAAAAAAAATTTTGCAAGCTGAAACCTTCCGGATCTTGATTTGGAACATCAAAGAGTATTCTGATCGATTCTCAGTGAATTCACAACCCAAAATGAGTTCACCTTCCTTGTCAGGAGACCTCATTTCTTTAGAAAAAAAAGATTTTTGATGAAGTGGTTTTCATTTTTAGGCGATGTTTTCTTCAAGAGTATTTTGAAATTTCATCACTTCTAGGTCTCGAACCAGTGCGCGGCGTTGGTCGACGCCAAAATTCTCTGTCCGACTTTGTACACCCCCGAACTTGCTTATATTCGAGAGAAGCCACTTTCTGAAACTCACTACATCACTGATGTTCAATATACGGTGAGATTTTAGATCAAAAGATTCTCTGAATATTTTTTTGCAGGAGAAAAACGAGTATGGAGCCGAAGTGCAGCGAAACGGACGGCCACTTCCTGTCGAGTATTTGCTGGTCAGTTTTTTTTTGAACTTACAAAGAGGTCATATTTCGCGGTTATGAATTCCTTAAAAATTGACTAGAAAACTTTTTTATGTTCCAAAAAGGTCTTTAAATTCTCAGCCTACACAACTTCCTCGTTTTTGAAAAAAGAGGGCTAAAGCTTCAAAATAGTCCATTTTTATTTTTATTTTTTAGGGGAGTTTTTTTTTTTACTTTGAGGATCTCCTTTTTACAAAACAGAAAGCTGTGTAGATTAGAGTTCTCAAAACCGAACGTTCAAAAAATGACCGTTTGAAAAAAAAAATGAACTTTTTCATTTTTCGATAGTTTAGGATATATCATTTTCAAACGTTCAACCAAAAAGTTCGAAAATCGTTTTCTTATAATAATGAACGTTTGCTTTTCACATAAAAAAACGGACGTTCGTTTTTTGAACGAACTTTTTTGAAAGGGAAAATGAACGTTCATTTTGGTTGAACGTTCAAAAGCAAACTTTAACCAAAAGTTTGGTTTCAACATTTGTTCGAAAATGTTTGGTTTTGAGAACTCTAGTGTAGATGGATCTTTTCGTGGTACCTCAAAAAGTATTATGGCCAATTTTCATAAAATTCCAAAAAAAAAAAGTGAAATATTCTTCCTTGTGAACTCTTCAGTTTCAATTTTCTCTTACAAAGCTAATCTTCTGTTTCAAGGTCGATGTCCCCACTGGAATGCCCAAAGAGCCGCATTATACTTTCGTCGTGCCGAAAACGATCGACTTCCACGTGGAGAATCGCAAAGAAATCGGACAGTTCCAGGTTTTTCGAATGATTTTTCAGCGCTTCAAAGAAATTATAAAATTTTAGGGCGGAGGAAATCTTGCGGATTATTGCGCCGCCTTCAGTATGAATCAGTTTCTGGAACAAGCCACGAATTTCCACTTTTTGTTGTTCTTGATGACAAATGAGATGCTGAGAATCGGCGACGATGCGATGAAGGTTAGTTCATGAATTGAAAAAAATCCGTCCTAATTTAAAGTTTTCGCGTGACCTCTAATTTGAACCTAAAGAAATTTTCACTGTCTTTTCCCAGAAATCGACCGATTTTTTCATATAGCTAAGGAACTTTCCGACGAAGACACTTCTCCTTTTACTTTCTTTCTTTTTCAATTTATTTTCTTGTTTCTTCGTGTTTCCATTTTGCTATTATTCACAGAACGCCATTCAAAAAGTGGGTATTATGAAAGGAAACGCTGGGAAAGAATTTGTCGGAAAAATCCGATTTGAATAAATCGGATAAGTCGCCATTGGAAAATTTGCTGATTTAAATTAATAGCACCACAAAATCACGTAGTCTTATCAGAAAAGTTCTTTTTTTTGGAAAATTTCTCACTATAAGTTCAACACGACTTTTGCAGAGATTGTGCGACGCCGTGGTGAAGCAGGACCGTGGAGAAGCCATGGACTGGGCCAAGGGTTGCGAGGATTGGCATCAGCTCGTCGCTTTGTCTCACGCTCAGTCCGATCGTTAGTTTTTCAACTTTTCATTGTTTTTACAGGATCCGTAGTAGATTTGTAAATGATGCAAAACTTAAAGCCGCTAATTTAGAAAATGTTCCTTGACAGAAGTCGATTTCGTCGTAAAGACTTGCATTAAAATACTGAAAAACCAAAAAACTTATCTTATAACGATTTAAAAATGTTTTTTTGCGGTTTTCCGAAGGGTATGGTGGCATAAGAGATGGGCCGAAACCCGTATTTTTCGATATCACTTTTCAAAAATATAATTTTGAAATGATTTGAAAATTCAACCAACAGACTTCACGTGCTAACCGTCGAAAATATCAAGAGAAAATATCCTCTATCGCATTAATATCTCGCCTTTAAAATTCAAAAGCTGTGTTTATTTCTGTGAGCTGATGTCAGTGGTTCTGCGCTTCAAAAAAAAAATTACGGATTTGGATTCAAATTTTTTTTTTTAAGTTCCCCTTCATCCATCTCTGTAGGGCAGCCGTCATTTTGGCTTGAGAACTACCTCCTGTTTTCGCCAGAAATCAGAATTGAATGTGTCTCATCTTCTAATCGTTCAGAGATGCCGATGAACGAGGAAAGCGGGAACACGTCGTGGTCCTGCGGCCATTGCACCTTCGAGAACGAGGTCGGTCGTCCCGACTGCGCCATGTGCGGACTCCCGTCCACCGCCTGATCAACTCCCTTTTTCAAAGCTTTTCTTTACTGGTTTCCTGTTCTGCGTGTAAATTCCCCTTACATATTCCTCTATCGCATTATTTATTTCTTTGTGCAATTTTTTTTGTACATTCATCTTGTTAATATAGAATAAAGGACGTGGTCTCTTCTTGTGTTTTTCCATGGAAAGAAATTTGGCAACTGTTATGTTTTGCCTCTTGAAGCAGAATACCTTAATGGGAGCAGTTCTTTTTTGTTAGTAACACGATTTTCTATTTTCCGAGAATTTTCCCACTTTTTCAAGTTTAGTGATTATTTCCAAGTGATCTAAAATAATTTCCAAGTTTTGTATTTTCAAGTTTTTGAAGCTTGTCTTGATACCTATCGAAATTTTGCCCGTTTTCTTTAAATTTTTCATATTTTCACTTGAAGCCAGAACCTTTTTAGAGAAAAACTCACCATTTTCCGATTTTTAGCACTGGATTCCATCGCTAACCTTAAAGAAGTTTTGTAGAAAAGCATTTTCCACGTATATTTCATCAATGGGAAAATAATGAGATTTCTATTTTCTGAAAATATTAGAAGCTAATTAAATTAATTTTCAATAAGTTTTTGTTCCATTCCAATTATGTCCTCAACGTTAATTTTTTGCACAAAAATGCGTTAGGAAGAATTTTTTTTGGTTCTTTGTCCCCTCCTTCTTAGCTTCTCATTTTCCTTTTGTACGAATTGTTGTTGATCCCCGTGGGCGTCGCCAAACGGTTTTGGTGCGATATTAGTCGCGTATTGTGATTGATATGATGTAATGTAGAGGGCACAAATACGCGGAACCAGCTTTTGTTTGGTTCTGATCTGCCAATACGTTCTGCCTCAGCTTCCTCTTCTCCCGCATTCGTTCCACTCGTTTCTCGACTCATCGGAATGTGGTCGGCAAATTAGCTGCCGTTTGCCTTGGGGCGACGCCGAAAAAAAGTTACATCGGATGACCTTTTTGAGAGGGGGGGGGGGCTTCTGAACTGGCCGCGCCCCTCTCTCATTTACATATATCAGCTTATCATCATCAACGTGATCGTGATCAGCCGCATCATTTCAAGATTTCAGCGAAAGGCCGCGTTCAAAAACACTCGCGGGAAAGGAAATGATTGATTTTTGAGAGACCGTTATGAATCGACACAATAAAATCATTCAAAAAGCGATCTAACACTAGAGGGTTCACGATGATCCTCTGGCAGAACGGAATGGATCTTCTAAAGGTCCCCAACAGAATTTCAAAATTTCTTTGTTACAACCTCCATTTGAAAGATGCTGGAAAGCAACTAAAAAGATCACAGGGAGTTCAAAAAAAATCCTCTGACAGGGAAGTTCATTTTTACTTTGTGATTGAGAATTTTCTAAAAATTGGCGTGAAACTCTTTGATGTACCAGAAGAAGATTCGGAAAGCCTCATTCTGCACAACCTCCTAGTTTTTCAGAAATAAGTGTCTAAAGCCCCAAAGATAGTTCATTATGATGGAGCGTTTTCTTTGAATTTGCGGCGTCTGTTCTCGAAAAGTAGAAAGTTGTGCAGATTGATGATTAATGATTTCAGAATCTTCTTCTGGTACATCAAGGAGCTTTCTGGCCAATTTTCAGACAAATCCCAACCGCATAGTTAAATGAACTCCCTTGTGAGCTTTTCTATCGTTTTAGGAGCTTTTATAGGAACTTTTCCGTCTTACCTGTCACTTTGTGACCATTATCCTAGGTTTCCATATTATTTTTTTGATTCCGGAAGCTTCAAATCTTTTATTAAAACAGAAACCTTGCCAAAAGCATATGGTACTTCATAAGTAACCGAGAAGCACGAAGATAAAAATCCTTACCGACCATCCAACCTCTTTCAGTCGTCAAAAAGAAAGTGGAGCATCAATTTCAAAAATTTTTCGATTTTTATCGCAGTAAGGTTTTATTTCAAAGTGTCCTGAAACTTCTCAAAATCCCGACTCCGAAAGAAATCCCAACGCAAGTTTAAGTACCGTTCTAATCGAATCAGTCTCACTGGCGCAAACGTGTGAATTTTTTCCTTCCCCTCTGTCCCAATAAAAAAACTGGGACAAGTAATTTCATCCAGAGTTTTACGATTTTTTTTTCCTAATGAGAGCAAAAGTTTGAAAAGAGAGATTTGAGCTGGAAAAAAGAATTTAGTTTACAAAGCTTCACGTTATCAGTCGAAATCAAAAATGAAAAATTTCGAATTTGAACTTTTTTTGAAAATGAAAACATGTAGCTCAAAAATAAAAAATCCTCGTTCACTTATTCGCGCTCCATCGACAAATTTTCTTTTTTTTTTGATTTACTTGATTGATTTATTTTTTTCAAATTAGTTAATAACCAAAAACTTCAAAAAAGGTCGAAAAATATTTTTTTCATAAATAGCTCACGCACATTTTTTTATTTAACGGATCATGTTTTTCGAATTTCGAATTTCTTTTTAGATTTTCTTCTGATGACTAAGTTTCAGTCAGTGATAAAAAAACACTATGATTTTTATTTTTCTAATTTTTGCGAAAAATTTTTTTCCAAACTTCTCCAGAGTGGGCCCTATAAGGGCAACCTTTGGGACCACTTTACTAACCCCTAAAGGGGCCACTAAAACTCGCGAAAGTAGTCCCTATGTGGGCATAATATTCGATAATTGTTATCAACTCTAAGCGAAGAAGCATTTCCATGGGAAAAACTGAATAAAATTACGTTTTTTGAATGAAATTGAAAGACCCCTGTAGGGTCCACTTGAGCTTTAGGGGCTAAGGGGTCTGACCCCAAACCCCTATAGGGACCCCTTTTTCGGCCCATAGAGGTTGTTTTCCAACCCCTATAGGGACCACTCTGGTATTCCTAAGAATGCTCTTTGATTGTCGAACACAGTGATTTCATTTTCGAGAAAAAAAGATGAATCAATGAAAGTTTGGTTTGGGATGTTGCAAGAATGTGTTCAGGATGGATGACCAGCCCTCCCATCGGATACATATATCGGATATGCTGATCCTCCTGTCACGCCGTCGACAAGGGGAAGAAGGCGTGTCGCGCGTGTCGCGACGGAGGATGGAGGAGGGAGGGCTGGACGAATTCTCGCCTCGGCCCGAGAAGTTTTGAAGACGTCAGAAGGAGAAGCCGTCGTCGCTTCACACGATGGCTCGCCGCCGCCAACTATTCCTAGTACTTTTGGCCTTATCGATAACAGGTCGGCTTTACCTTTCTTTCATTTCTAGTTACTTTAATTCTTCCTACTTCATTATCCTCATTTTTCTCTTCGCTTCTTCATAATTTCTTTTCTTGGCCAGATGCCAGAAGCTTTTCTGATTTACAAAAACTTGAAGAAAGTCTTCAAACTTCTATCAAAACTTACAAAAAGCTCTTTTTTTTAACTTTTAAAATGAATATGTTAAGGACTGCTAAGCTTTTTTCTTTCTTTCAAGTATTTTTTTCTTCTTCTTGTTGTTTTTTTTTCTCTTTGACTGATAATAATTAGAGATAAGAGATTTTTTTGGAATCTGTGGATTATTTTCAGCTCCTTTTTTTTCACTTCTCAAAGATGTTTTTCTTAAGTTCATCACAATTCCTTATAAAATTTGGAGTTAGAAACATCATCAAAGTCCCAAACATTGCGAAAAACGAATTTTAGGTGGTTTTCGATGATTTCTGTTTCCAATCAATGTTTTTAAATGAAATATCTTTTTCAAGAAGCTAATTTATTTTTCAATCGGTGTTCAAGTTGTTTTTTTCAAAAAGCAAAATATGCCTAGGAGGACGTATGCGAGAATTTTTTTACACTAGGTCAAATTTTTTTGAAATTTTACCGGATATTTTTTTCTTTGTAGTGTTAAATGTATACTGATAGAAATTTATCCGTTCTTCTGAGCCTTTGAAAAAAAAATATAGCAAATCCGAAGAAAAAAGAAAAAAAATAAATTTTCGCTTTTTTTGGAATCAGAAATTTTTTTTTTGCAGTTTTAGCAGTTTTTTTTAAAGTACATTTTTTTGTGAGCTCTCATTTTGTATAGCACTTAGGGAATATGGTTTCGTAAATTTGAATATTTGAGAATGTTCCAAATTGATGATCCTGTTGTGTTTCAATATCGACTTGCATAGGAAATATAATTGTTCTCGAAATACTTTCTCGATTTCTTATAAAACTCTTCCTCCGTGTTAGTTCACATAAAACGGATTTGGAGCAATTTTTCTCTATTAATTTTGCTCACATTTAATTTTATAATTTTTTTATGTTTTATAAGAACATTTTTAAAAACAACAGGCTCTGAACTACTATAAAAATAGAAAAAGCTCTAACTAGTTTTTTCCCCCTTAAAGGTCATTTGTTCGCCGTTTTACACGCTCTATTATTCTTCGTTCTTTTGAATAGACAGCGAAACGGAACATGCGCAAACATTTTGTTACAATAATGACAAACTCTCGGTTTTTTTATTTCAGAAATTGGATAAATAAGGTTTTTTTGAGCACCGTACGACTGAAGCTAGTGGTGAAGCAAATTGCAGTACTTTCTTTATTTTTTCAACTTTATTTGAAAACATCTTTGAAAGGCAATCTTTATGGAACATTATCATCATATCTTCCGAATTCATCAGTCAGAAAGCTTGAAAAGGGCTCCATATTCGATTTCTTCAGCGAAAAGTTAACAAAATGTTGTCCTACTTTTGTTTTTAGCCTCATTTGTTAGTTTTTTGATTTTTTTTTTTTTCTATTGTCAAGTAGTTCAGTTACTCTTCATAAGATAAAAAATAGAAAAAAAAAACTACTTTTATCAATATTTTTTTGTAATAGTTTTTTTCAGAAAATTGGGAGACGGAAATTTTGAAGATAAAAAAATTTCAGAAAAAAGCGACTTTCAGTTCTATAGGTGGAAAAGCTGAGGATGCTGAAGTCAAAAATAATAAAATTAAAACTTTATCCGTGTAATAAGGCTCTCTAGTATCAACTTTACTCCCTCTAGTGGTCACTTTTATTTTGTCCCATCTCTGAAACTATCACTTCCTTCAGCGGTCACAAAAACTTTTTCAAAAAGAAAATGCCAACGTTCATTTTTTGTTCTGGCACGACCAACTTTTGTACATAAATAGGGCTTTTTGGAGGCGACACTGGTTTTGTCGAAAAACGGCAAGGGGTCGAGAGAGAGGAACATCTCGAAGACTGGATCCGCCCGCCTTCTTCTTTTCTTGCTTTTCCATGCCATCCATCCATTTTTCGACACCGCTCCTATCAACGGCATGTTGCGAAAAAATGTTCCTTTTTGTCAAGGGCTATTATTCAAAAAACTTTTTGCTGCAAAAGGAAAATGTGTTAATTTTCGTCTCTGCAGTGTAATATTTTAAAGGCGCGTTCGGCATTTTGAAGAAAATGGCTTCGATCTTTTGTTGCCGAAAAATGACGGTGTTTCACAAATTAATAGCTCTTCTTCAAGAAAAGCTCGTTTGAAAACTTTTGCGTTCTGTGGTCAAAAAAAGTTTGCCCTTCACCGATTCTCACGAATCTAATTAAAAAAATCATTGTATGAATTTTCAACTAAAATGCCTTAGATCACAGTTATTCTACTGAAGGAATCTAGACTCAATGTTTCATGTGCCAGAAGTTGAAACGATCTGTTCGCAGGTGGAATGGCTAAATGAGTTGCGGTCGCGTTGCGGTTAAAATCAGAAACATCATTTTTTGATTAGCTTGTGGTCATGCGCATCTTATTGATACTTTCTTCGCGACCGTTACGCGTCTAGCCATTCCCTCTGCGACCATCTTTTTTCAGTTAGAGTCTGTGCGAAAACAACTAGGTTGTTATATTTAACAACTTTACAACCAGAAAGTTGAAAAATAAAGGTTAAAACTGATATTTTTACCGATTCTCGCTTTCTTTCTCCTCAAAATTTGCCCACTTTTTATGATTTCACACGGCCCTTTGACCTTCTGCGTAACGTGGGATTTTTCTCGCCTCCTTATCAATTGAAATTTTACACCGATCGGAACCGACGGATATCAGAAAAAAAGGCTCAGACTTGACAAGAAATTGAAGAGAAAAAGGGAAAAAATGGCCGGTCATTTCTCTCGTCGTCGTCGTGTGTGTGGATGCGTGTGTGACGTTTATTGCGGTGGCGACGGTGTCAGCGGCTGGATCGCGCAAAAGTGAAACGAAGCGAATCGAGAAGGCGAACGAGAAGAAGGAGAAGAAGAAGCCGTTTAAGGTTGAGGTGATATATCATCGCCGTGTCGGCCAGCCACGAGGGACCGTTAGCCTTGAACGAGCCATTTTTTGCAAATAAATGAAAAATGAGTTCTTGGAGTGATCATGTAAAATAGTGCGTGGGAGGCATGAAAGCCAAAACATGTGAAGAGTGCGTACTAAATAGTAATTTTTACAGTTTTCTAGAAGTTTTTTGGGTTCAAGCTCTGAAAACTGTTCAGTGAAACTCAGAAAGTTCAAATTTTCGTAAACTAAAACTTCGGGTAGGGTAGGCAGCTATTTCGAAAGGTTTGAAAGGAACTATAACATGTTCAGATGTTGAATTTCAAGTAAAATTACGTCATTCGAAAACGCTCTGTAGATGGCCCGCTTTCTGATTGGTTAATCAAGCTATTAGGGGCGGAGCTTGAGCATCGACTTGAAATTCAAAATCTAAACAGACTTTGTACCTTCAAAAATTTCTTATTCGAAAGGTCCAAAAACACTTATTTCCTTGTCAGAGAAAAAAAAACCCATAGAAAATCAGAATCAATCAAGGAACCAATTTTTTTTTTATAATTTCCATGCTCTTCGCCTTTCAAATTTTCAAAGCCTCAAAAAATTAGAAATTATATGCCCTTTATGGACAACTTTTTTCTCCTCCCTTCTTCAAGCCATTCCATCACCTTGGACTTTTGAATCCCTCAGTTTTTCACATCAATCTTGACACTTGTCCGATCATTGCCCGATTCTGGTCGGAAAATTGGCGAAAGTGGTCTTGAAATCTTGTTTGGTTCTGTTCCAATGCCCCATTGTTTTTTTCAAAGAAATGATATTATTTTTGAGAAAAACTGTCGGTTTTCAGGGTTCATTGATCATGTCAACGCAGAAGCCAATGAAATCGAATCATCCGGTCAGTTTTGTTTAGAAAACTTTCCTTCTCACTTAAAATTTTTGTTTCTGAATCTAATTGTTCTACCATTTTTTTAGTTTCGATTAGAATATATGATAAGAGTAGCCTTATTGGGCTTTTATTTGAAAAAAAAATCAACTTCATCTTAATTTCGAAAAATAGTCGTTTTTACGGATAGTAATATAGGTATTTTTTTGCACTTCCAAAACCTGAAATAGTAAAAAAAAACAGATAAAAAGTTTTAAAATTGAAAAATTTGAAACCTTTCAGGAGAAAGCCCCGCCCACATGCCAGATTCGGAAGGAATCGAGTCAGATGAGAAGGTTTTTTTTCGCTTTTGATATGAGATTCAATTGCACGATCCTATTATATGTCTTCATATTTCATTCTTTTGGTTTTTTTTTACTTTTTTTATTTAATCGAGATAAGTTTAGCGTAGCACTATTTTTTAAATCCATTTTTTTCTGAGACTTCTTTTTGAAAAGAAGTTTGGTACAAATATATGGAATCCTGAAAAGAACCTACAGTTCTCAAAATTTTATCATCTTTTGGAATAAAAATTCCTGATCTGAAAATTTTATTATTGTGTATAAGCTGCTTTTCCCCCAGAAATTTCGTATTTTCATCTTATTTCTCGTTTTTTTTTTGTCCAGTAAAATCATTTTTCTCTGATAATATGTAAGGCCTCAGCTTCTCTATAAACCCAGAAACATTCCTGAAAAATTTAAAAAAAGTCTATTTTTTTAAGGTTATGGAATCTTCTAAAAAAATGATAACTCAGGCTGTAGGTTTCTAAAAAAATCAAGTGTTTAGTACTGAATTAATCAGGAAATTTCACTTGGTTTTTTTTGAGATATTAGCTTTTTTTCAAATTCATTCCCAGAGTAAGAGCGAGGAGAGCGCAGACGCGACAGAAGGGGCGCCTGGAGGCGGCGGCGAAAAGTGCAAGGATCGACACGATCTCTGCAAATTTTGGTCGTCGATCGGCGAGTGCGGCACCAACAAGGAATGGATGGAAGACCATTGTCCCGTTTCTTGCGACGTCTGTAATGGTAATGAGTTTTTGAAAATTTGAAAGTTGCTTTTTTTTTGTTCTAAAATTGCTTATATATTGCTTATCTGATTCAAGCAGTATTTGAAAATTTTAAACCGTCTTAGAATATTTTTTTTTGAATCAAAATTAAATATAGGCAAAGTCGGAAGGACCCTCCGAGGCTGCTGGAAAACTCCATAGAAATATTCCTTTTAGGGTGATAAAGGCTCCCTTTTTGCTGCCTTTTCGCCCCATTTTCTCACACGGGAAGTGCGAAAGGTCGAGGTATTGGAATTTAATGAAACTTGGTATATAGGTACTACCGAACACCCTGAATCCAATACAGTTGAAAAAAAGTGCGCCTTTTTGGTTTTAGTCGAGTTAGGGCGCCTCAAAGTTTGCACGCAAAAATTGCATTGGAAGGGAGGAGGGAATGTGTTGCGGCGGCTAACTCTAGCTGCCAGCAGGCGGCGTGGTGTAGTGGCTAGCGGCCTTGCGCTGTGAAACCTATGATGCAGGTTCGGTCCCTTTTTGGTGAAAAATTTTATTTTTTTGCCAATTTTTTTATTTGAAAAAAATGAGGAAGTTTTTGATGATGGAGTGAAAGAACAGCTCAAAATTTTGAAATTCGCCATTTTATGCCCATCTGAGAAAGAATAAAACAAAAAATTTTTTTGCTCCATTTTTTCTTGCCAAACCATAAGGCTTATGGTCGACCCATTCTTTCAAAAAAATTTCTGATGAACCAATATAATCAAAGTTTTATGAGATTTATTCTTCTTTCCTTCCTTTATGACGTTATGTGTGTAAAAATGCGTATTAAAGTCCAGCTTCACTTTATTTTCACAATCGAGATGATATGGCGATGCTGCAGGGAATGAAAAAAAGACAAGGAAAAAGGGTTAACTAACCGCCATCTTTGAAGAAAAAAATCGTTTGATGAATAAGAATAGAAGCATAGAACTACAATAAGTTGTTATTTATATCACAAACCTATGAGCTCTCGCAAGAATAATCTCGACGCCCAAATTTCCTGCACAGAGCAGGACAAAAAAAGACTAAAAAAAATGTTTTTGTTGAAATTCTTTCTCAAAACGACATAAAATAGTGAATTTTAACACTTTGAACAGTATTTTTCGTTCCATCTTCAAAAATTCATCAATTTTTTCGAAAAACTTCTTAGCAAAAAAAAATTTCACCAAAAAGGGACCAAACCTGCATCATAGGGTTTCACAGCGCAAGGCCGCTAGCCACTACACCACGCCGCCTGCTGGTAGCTAGAGTTAGCCGCCGCAACACATTCCCTCCTCCCTTCCAATGCATTTTTTGCGTGCAAACTTTGAGGCGCCCTAACTCGACTAAAACCAAAAAGGCGCACTTTTTTTCAACTGCTTTGGATTCAGGGTGTTCGGAAGTACCTATATACCAAGTCTCATTAAATTCCAATACCTCGACCTTTCGCACTTCCCGTGTGTCAGCCTTTTTGCACCAGTTTTGCAGCTTTTCCCTTTCTCCACCATTTCTCGAGCCTTTGAAATCACAGAAAAATGGAAGACTCGATAAAGGGACTCCACTTCCTTTTTGCTGCCGTTCTGCGGCCTTTTTCGAGCCTCTCCCCTTTTGCTGCCATTATCCACCATTCCGACTTTGCCCTAGAATATAATTCCTTCTTCTCTAGGAGGTGTATGAACTGTGGAAAGCTGAAAGTTTGAAGAAGCATTCTTGTTTCTGTTCTTTGGAAAACTTTTCAGCAAGGCCAGCAAAAAATAAACCCTCGCATCCTCTTGAGAAGTCTAATTGGTCCTACTAGACTCTCAAACTTACTGTAGTGGTTACTAAGACGCGAAATAATGGCTTCTAAAGAGGTTTTTGCGGTGGCCACTTTAGTTTCCTCTCCAAGAAACCCTCGAGGAACTTCTTAAATGGCCACTAGGTTTATTCCCAGTCACTGTAATTTTTTTCCTCGTCATAAGATGAATGGAGTTTGGTATAGTTGTAAAATGAACCTTGACGATTCTATTTTCTGATCATTGGGTTGGCTTTTCATTACGACACGGTTCATGCTTCTTTCACGTGCTGGAACGGTTCAAAAAAGTGTAAAAAATGAGGAAAAAGAAGATGAAGACGTTTAGGGACGATGACGTGCATTGATCGTCATCGCCTGTGCAACTTCTGGGCGGCGATCCGAGAATGCGAAACGAACGCCGTCTGGATGCTCTCCAACTGCGCGAGGTCCTGCAAAGCTTGCAAAGGTTCGGATTGACAGGAACAGGACTTTCAAATACTTGAAAAAGCAGCTCATAAGCACCCGAAGGACAATAGAATTTTTCTGACGCTTGTAATTACTTTTTTGCGTTGCTTAGTTATCAATGATGATCTTTAAATATCGCTGAAGTTTTTTTCCGGTCCAAAAACTTAAAAAAAAAAGTCAAAAAAAGGCAAGAAAAGTACTGTAGCCACGGGGGCGGAGTTAGCTGTTTTACATTAAAAACCTGAACAGACTATAACTCAAAAATTCATGACTTCAACTCGTTGCTTCATTTTTTGTTGATCTACAGGAAAATCGATCAGCAGCCATGGCGGCAGTCGGGCGGACGGCGGGTTCCGCGAAGAGGACTGCACTTTTGTCACCACTCATGAAGGTATTTCTCCGAACTAATCTCCTATTTCAAAGCTTTCAGATACGTCGCATCGGAAGACGATCTCGATTAATGACGTCCGCAATTCCAACGCCAACTTCAACTGCGCTCCAACGCAACAGCCGCCGAATTGCAACCGCAATTTGTGCTATCACTTGAGGTCAGAAACTGCAGATTCTTTATAAGTGTCTGAGTTATTTTCGTTTGAAAAATACGGATAGTGGAATATTGTGAACGCAAGATGTATACAGGGATAGGTCTCTGAAAAATCTCACTTTTAATAGCTATAGAAAGATTTTTTTAAAAGTTTTTTTGCAACATTTCAAAAAATGGCTGATATTTTCAGATGTCCGCAAGTTAAAAATAGAACAAAGCTCAAGAAGAAAAGAAAAAAGAAGTGGAGTAAATTAGGTACTTTAAAGACATTTTGGCGCCGTTTTAGGGGCAAGCTGAGGTTTTTTTTGTAGCTTTTTTTAGGAGAATCTAAAAAAGAGCTTGGATTTTTTTTTTTGATAAAGCGTATCGGACGCGCGGCGCACCTTTATGAGCATTTCTGGTAATTACCCAGAAGTTTGTACCCCTAAAGGTATCACTAGAAATGCTCATAAAATCCGAGCATGCCTATGAGGTGCGCTGTCGACCGTATTTATAAAAAACGAAGTTTTGTTCTTTTTTTTTTTGCTCAAGACTCCTTCTCAGATATGTATGTTAAAGTCTGATCAATGCTTTTTTCAGGTTCCGAACTTTCGATGGAACCTGCAACAACCTGAAGGAATCCATGGCCGGTTCGGCTTTCACGGCTCTGATGCGACTGAAAGCCGCCGCACTACGACAATGGACTCAACGCCCCGACTTGTCCGTTTTCCTCTGTTCTTTTAGTCGCATTTGGAATGGCTTGAGACGTTGCGGCTTGCCTTTTGAAGCAGCGGCTTTATTTCTACGTCTTGAGCTGTTCCCAAAGCGACCAGGGTCTTCCAAGTTGAGTAAAATGTAGCTTGATGGTTTATATTTGATAGACGCTTTGAATGAGGAGTTATTTGTTTTCCGTTTTCAGCATAAGTAGATCTGAGATAAAGAAAAACAGAAGAAAAGCGAAATTTTCTAAGAGGACTTACCTGTGTCTAATTGAGCATCTTTTCACTGACTTGTAGGTTAAATTCTTCTGAAAAATAATCAATTATGTGCAATATCCTGAAAATCTAAACCTACACAACCTCTCAGTTTTCGAGAAATGAGGGCTCAGATTCTGAAAATTTAGTGTTTTTTCCGACTTGCGGTGTGTTTTTTTTTTTCGAAAACTACCAGCTTTCCCAAGTGGAGACCTTCAAAATCTTACATCAAGGAGTGTTCTGACCAAGTTTTAGGAAATTCTCAACCGCAAACTGAATGAAATTACCTCCCTTGTGGGTTAAAAATAAATGAATTTTCGTTTTTTTTTTCACGATACTTGATCATTTCCGTTCATTGAACACTTCAGAAAGACAATAATTTTGTTTCAAAATATCATTATTCAATTCAGCCTCTTTCACCCGGTCGAGACCATCTTCTCGGGATGCTTCGCGGCTTCTTCTCTCCTCTTCCTCCCAGGTTTTCATTTAATTTTTTTTTTTGATTTTTCTTTTTAAGGTTTTGTGCTAAGTTATACGCATCAGACTTTTCGATGCTTGAAAATAACATTACCCACTTTTTACACCTGTTTGTTCTTAGCTGTCCGAATTCAGATCCCCCACCACTCCAACGCTCTTCTGATGCAATGGGGACAGTTCATTGCTCATGACATGGCCAAGACCACCATGCTCAATAATCAAGTGAATTCTCCATACGTTTCATCAGCCAAAATGTTTCCCTTAGGAATGTGCCGCCTGCACATCTAACCAGGGCCGATGCTTCTCCGTTTTCCTGTCCCGCAGCGATCCGACGTGAGTTTCAAGGGGAAAAAATAGATTCTGTTTCTTGACAGCTACGGTAATGAGACCATTGAGCAGGTTCGGACGGTTCATGTGTCTTCCCGTGGCGAGATCAACGCCAGTCTGTGGCACCGGAATCAGCAACTTCCGCGAGCAGTACAACGAGAACACGGCCTACATCGATGGATCGATGGTAAGAATTCTATTGATTGATTTTTATTATTTTAATTTTGCGTGTATTATCTATTTTCTTTCTCTTAAATTCCTCGTCTTTTTCTTGGCCTTTTGATTGGTTTTGCTCCAGCGATCTCAAATATCCGTCATTAATGCAAATTTTTGTGAAAAAGCTTCTAAATGAAAGCAAGAAGAAAACGTCAAAACGTGTCTAAATAATCATTTTTTGAGCTCACTTTTTGTGTAGACTCTTTTTTTTGCACCTTTTTCTCTCTAATCTCATGTATTTTTCTTGGCCATTTCACAACAAATTCTACTATGCGTCATTATTTCAAATTATCGTTAAATTCTTCAAGTTGAGGCAAAAAGAACCCAAAACGTGTATTTCTTGCCATTCTAATAATGGACAAGATCTAAATTTCGGAATACTGCAAAAAAGGCTATAAAATAAAAGCAAAAAGTCTTTTTCAACCAACCCTGGACTCCATTATTTTTTCTTCACTTTTATTCACTTTGCCCGGTTCTTTCAGATCTACGGAAGCAGTGACCGAGACCAGTTCCTGTTCCGACAAGGCGCCTTCCTCAAGACGAAGCTCGTCAACAGCAGAGTTTTCCCACCAATTGGTTGGATTCACTAGATAATTGGGGAAAATCCATAAAATTTGAGATAAGAACAACAACGTCGTGGCTGGAGATGACCGGGCCAATATTTTCGTCGGACTCGCCGCCCTCCACACGCTTTTCTTGCGACAGCATAACAGGTTGAAATGCGGAGATTATCGCTGAGAAAATCAATTCTGACTCGTTGAGAAAATCATTTTTCATGTGGAGATCACTCATAATCTCAATTAGATAGGCGATTTTTTGAGGGATTTTTAGTCGTTGAGTGATCACTTGAGGGGTGTTAGGGCCTCAAAAAAATCAGTCTCACTCATAATCTCAATTCCAAAGCCGACGCTTTGAGAGAGTTATCATTTAAGGGAAGTAAAAGCCTCATAAATGTTCGATTTAAATGACAGAACTTTTCAATAAGCCCTTCTAGTAATATATATATATATATATATATATATATATATATATATATATATATATATATATAAATTCAAATTAAAAATGTTTTTCTCTTTGTCAGACTCTCCGTTCTTCACACGTTTCACTTGAGGCATATAACAGGTCAAAATGCAGATTATCGCTCTCGTAATAATTAACGACGAATCAATTTTGCCATGTTCTAATATTATTTCTGAAACCGAAGTTTTGATAGATTTTTAGTCGTTTAGTGATCACTTGAGGGAAGTTAGAGCCTTATAAATTTTCGATTCAAATTACAGAATTTTCCTAAAGCCCTCCTATTCTCTACTTGCCACATCAAAAACTACTGCAGAAATGTCTGAAACTCTTATTTTTGCATAGTCTTTCGCGTAATCTAACCTTCCTAGTTTTTGCCTCTAGCAAGCGGTGAACGAACTATGTCACTCAAACTACAAAGGATCGAATTCGAGGTGTTTTAACTTCAGAGAAGATATAGTTATCATGAAAGTTTGATGAGCCGGCTAAAGAAATGACAAACCCTTCGAATTTCCTAACCTTCTGGAGCCTTCTGATTATTTTTTGCTCAGGATCGCGGCGACGTTGCAGCGCGTCAACCCTCACTGGGATCAGGAGCGAATTTTCCACGAATCGCGGAAAATCCTCGGCGCCATCTTGCAGCGCATCACCTACACAGTTAGATCTCCAGAAATTGTTTTCATACTCGATTCTCTCTCAGGAGTACCTTCCGCGAGTCCTCGGCGACGAATTCGAACGGAGAATCGGCGCCTATCCCGGCTACGACAACCAGACCGATCCCGCCGTCGCCAACGAGTTCACCAGCTGCGCTTTCCGTTTCGGCCACGGTATGATTCAGGTCGGAGCTTTGTTCTTTTGTATGTTTCACCAATGAGTTCTCATTTTTTAAAAAGTGGCGCTTTTCTGATTTTTCTGTAGTGTGGTTCATACGATTTGGTTGATTTTGAAGCGGGAAATCGAACTTTTTCGGAATTAGCTTTAAAAAGCCGATTTTGAAACGAGTTATATTTTCTTTTTAGAATTGAACTTTTTTTCAAAAACAATGAAAAGCTCTTAGAGGCATCTATCGATTAGGAATTTTATTAATATTTCGGTTTTTATAGCTGTTTTTCTTTCAAAGAGTTAGTATATTTCAATTTCGGCTTCACGAGATAAAATAAAATGAGTTTTACACGTTGTTTACGTCAAGTTCATTAAATAGGAAGATCCAGAAGTTTCACGCAATTTTAGTCTACTTACCGTATCAGTATCACAACATTCAATGAGTTTCAGGAGTTTTACCCCTTCCTGAACGAACGATTCCAACATGTTGGTGGGATTCCTTTCAATGAGGGCATGTTCAAGAGCCAGCACATCATCAACAACGGCATCGATCCGCTTCTCCGTGGTCTCATCACCTTGCCAGCCAAAATGCCTCAGAGGTTTTGAGAAAGTTCTATAGGAGTAAATCTGCTGGATGAATATCTCAAATTCAAAATATTGACAAAAAGAAATTCCTAGTTTTTTTGAGTAATCAAAAAGAGAAAACAGTGCTTTAACTTTTTTTTTTTGTTTTACAGACTTACTCCAGCCGTTACTGAGCGCATTTTCGGCAATTCTGACTTGGGCTCGATTAACATTCAGCGAGGAAGGTAAACGGGAGAAAAAAATATTGTAAAAATACAGGGATCGAAAAAATCTGGAGTTATCGTTTCTTTTGCGAATATTTAGTTGCACAGTTTTTTCAGCAAGGATCTTCAGATTAGAGATTTGAACTGAAAGAGTTGAAATTTTGGTTAAAAACCAAAAAATAAGGCGGTTCTGTTTTGTTCATCGTCAGGTTTGAGTTATCACTTGAAAAGAAGCCAAGAATTTTTTTATAGACTGAGTCGCTTTTTTATAACCCTTAAGGGGTCATTGTACCCCTTTTCAGCTTGTCTAAAGCTCTCTAGAAGAATCTCTCAATTATAGAGACCACGGTGTCCCGCCTTACACGAAATGGCGAAAGTTCTGCGGTTTGCCTGAGGTCAAGGACTTTTCCGACCTGAACTCGACGATGAGCAACAAGGTGATCATCGACAACCTAAAAGTCATCTACAAGCACGTTGGTATGTTTTTCGTGAACAAGATAACGATTAAGGGCAAAATGATTGATCTTTCCATCGTATTATGCTTTTTTGTTATGTCTTTTGGTTAGCCACGGACGTGAACTTGTTTTTTCTGGCGCATGGCAGTATGGAATCAAGCCAAATGGACAGCTTCTGATCTAATCGAGGCGGAATAAACAAGATTGATGGATGTTGAAAATCGCGGAACGTTCATGCGTTGTTTTTCGTGGGGGATCAAAGTCTTTTAGACTTTTTAAAAGATTTTACTGTTCAAAAACTGTGAAAAACTGAAATTTTTCCAGTACAGCTTTCAGTTTTTTTCCTCTGGTTCAAAAGAGCATAGATTTCATGAACGAAGAATATTTGGCCAAGTATATTTCAACTTTTCTCGCGATAAACAAATTTTCCAAGAACAATTCTTATGAACTGTGAAATTCTCCTGAAAAAAAAATATTCCGATAAACCTTTTTTGAATCCTCGAAAGAATGAAATATTTCCTAGACGCGATCGACATGTACGTCGGCTCTCTTCTCGAGGATCCGGTTCGTGACTCTCTCGTCGGCCCGACCCTCGGCTGCATCATCGGCGAGCAGTTCAAACGGACTCGCAACGGAGATCGGTTCAACCATTTCCTTCTAGAACTCTCCATAGTGAGTAATTCCAACAGGTTCTTCTACGAAAACGAGAAGGTGTTCAACGGCGAGCAGCTGAGGCAAATCAAGAAGATCACGATGGCGAGGGTCCTCTGCGACGCCGGAGATCATTTCGCCTTCGTCCCGCGCAAGGCGTTCAACGTCTTCAAGCCCACCAGCAGTGCCGACTTGTTGAGGTTGGAGAAGGACTCGGTTAACTTCAAAAATTTTTTAAAATTAAAAAAGCTTCAAGCAATACGTAAGAAAGCATCATTTATCTCATACTTCAATATTTTGCAATGCTAGGAAAAAAAAAACCTTTTTGAACCAAAATTTGAAAAATGACTTCGTTCAATTGCTCATTTTTGAATACATATCATTCAGATGCGACGAAATACCCGACATCGACTACAATGTATGGAAAGAAGAGCTGGCTATTTAAGTTCGAAAAAACCGAAATTTTCTAGTTATTGTCTGTATTATTCCCAACCTTTACCTCATTCTGTTATTTTCCCTTTTTTGTCCTTCCTTTCATTATGATCTTGTTGATTTCACGCTGCCCTGAGGGTTTTCCGTTGCCGCCGTTGGCATTCGCCCTGATCAATTCTAGTCATTTTTCAATGTTTGTACATTTTGAAACTCTCGTTAGATCCTTACATGTTAGACCGTTTAACTTTGTGTGCCTTCAGTGATTCCTTACAGGTTTCTTTTTCTTTTTTTTTCTTTGTTGAACCATTTATTAAGAAGATTGATGAATACAAATTGAATAGCTTAACAAATGAAAGAGTTAGGCGCCGCGCATAAGTTCCCCCAGCCTGTTGACCATCTGTATCATTTGTGCCCGGACGCTTTCCAACATTGTGTGACTGAAAAAAAATAATAAAAAATTGATCTTCATCTTTTTCTTATTTTCTTATTGTGTTGCTGGTTTTTGGCCGGAAAATATTAATTTGGTAAAGCTAGATTTTTTAGGGATAAAGTTAGACTTAAGCCAGGCTTGTGCTTCAAGCTACGCCTCTTTTTTGAAAAAACCTGCCGGTGCCGTCAGTCTTCGTGCAAAGTTTTTCATCCTCGAATCACCGTTTTTGTTGAAATAAAAGTGAAAAAATAACCAAAAGCGTCATTTTTTCTATCGGAAAAAGTCTGATATTTAGCTTGAAAAAATTGTACTCAAAAGCGTTTCTCAAAAAAAACCGTTTAAGGGTCCCTAGCAGATCTTTTTTATCTCATTTTTTTCATTTCTGCATCTTTTCACATCCTTTAACAGAATAGATTCTGGAAAGCAACGGAAAAGATTCGAGAGGATTTATAAATGAGTTTGATCAGGCTATAAAAAGGAGCTCAAAAACTTTTTCACATCATTTTAGGAGCTTTCAAAGGGACCTTTCTAGCTCCCTCTCAGGATCCTCAAAGGAACTTTTCCTTTTTACATATATGGGCCCATCGGTTATTTATATATATATGCTGGCCCTCACACAAGCCTGGTTTAAAAAATGACCACACTAGAGGCAAAAGCTGAGAAAACTAATTGAAAAAAAGCCTGAATTTCAAAGAACTGAAACTTGCCGATTTCGATAAGATTCTTCGAAGAGGATCTTTAGTATATACTGCGATCACTTCAGTAACATTTTCAAGAATAAGGAAGCACTACAGCTTTTTTTTCAAAAAATTCCAACTTTCGTGATGATGTCAGAATCAACCAAATGTTTGACACGACTTCCAAAGCCGTAGGGAAGGTGAAAAATCAACTTCAAATCATATTTTTCTTCGAAAGGCGATCTTGAGGTTTCTTTTTGTCATGGAAATTATTGATTCACGAGTTTCTTGGTGAAGAAAGAAATATTTACGTGAAGAGGTTGTCTGTAGCTTTTATATTACTTTTCTCCTTCTTATTTTTCTTCTTACGCCTTTGTACCGCTTGAGGACCAAGTCGATGAGGCACGGTACTATCGTGATATCAGTGATAATCATTGGACTAGTTCTAGTCATATATTCGCCTTGTGCAGCCGTGGTTTTTCCACTACCAAAGCTTCTTAAACACCTTGGTTGAGTCGCTGCCATGATCGAACTCGTGGTCCCATGAACCGAAGACAGGCACACAACCTGTTGCGCTACGGCGCGTTTTTGATAGTTTTCTAAGGTGAAATAAGACTCACAATGCTCGCAATGGGTTATTACAGCCCAAAATGGAAGGGTCAGCCGTGGTAGTTGTCACGGGAGCTTTTGTTGGCGTCGTTTTTTGTGTCGTTGTTTTCGTCGGCTTCTTTGTCGTCGTAGTGCCGGTTGGCTTGCTTGTGGTAGTCGTGTTGGCCACCGTTTCATCCACACCAGCACTTCAATTTGATCGCATTTTTTATAAAAGGTGATTTTTTGAGATGGTATGAAGTGTAAGGGTTCTCTTGACCGCTTTGATTTTTTTCCCGAGTTTTTCGATCAGTCAGTTTCATTTCGTTTCATTCATTCATTCATTCATTCAGACATCAAAAAGAAAAAAAAGGTTAAAAAAAAACTAAAGATGTTTTTGAAGACTTCATTGTTTAGCTATTGTGGTATGAAACTTTCAGATCAAATCTGCAAAAGTTAGGTTAGATCTTAAGATTATTTCTTCAAAATTCGACGCAATAATTCTCTCTATCTTTGAAAAATTTGCGATTTCTCTTCCAAGTCTTATTTTAAAGCTCTTCTCCTTTTTTTTCGGATAAAAAAAAATGTATTCATACAACATCGAAGCGTTCAAATGTGACCAGTGGAGACAGGAAAAAAAGATATTTGAGAGAGCTTTTGGCATATCCTTTTTTGGAAACAGTGCTTTTTGCGATTATTAAATGACATTATCCATTCCAGTTAAGGATTTTTCTAATTCCAAACCTATTGAGCACTAATTAAAAGAAGCTATACTTACCTTCCACCTGGTCGTCCTTCGCCGATCTTGCCAATGTTGGCGGAGACAACGACGAGAAGCCCGACAGCTACGTAAACCGTCGCGACGCGCATTTGTTTGACGGACCCCAGGAAAAATGGATGTCCCTCTTTTATGCACGTGTTTCAACACGAGATTCTCATCAAATGTTCCGAAACTCATTGGAATATTTCGAGGGGCTCGTTGTCAAATTTTTCGCGTGATTCCAAATTCATTTATGCTAATTTTGAGAAAAATTTCTTGTTTTTGGCGATAATTTCTCGCTGTTTTATAATCATGAAAGGGAGTTTCCAACTTTGGAGATTGATGATTAATTTGATTCAAAAACTTATTGACACTGAACGCAAAATAACGCGAGACTTTAGCGATACGGCATGGAACTCATTTGCGATATCGCTAATCTTGTCGCTTTTGTCGCGGTTCATCTTGCGTGTAGCGAGATAGAAACCGAAAGGAAAAAAAGGCGGCGAGAGTTTGGCGATACCGCACGGTTTTTACTAACGATATCGCTTGGTTGTTTTCGCGATCTAGCGCCGATCTTCTCGCTATATCGCGGTTTATCTTGCGTGTAGCAAATTAGGAACTGAAAGGAGTTTTATCAAACTCGCGCATTTGTGTTTCAAACGGACATCGAATGGACTATATCAGTTATGAAAAGCTCTCGAGAGGTGGGTCTAGCCTTGATATATTTCGAGCTTTTCTATTGATGCGGACATGTTGAAAAACTCCATTCTAAGATTTATTAATTTAATAAATTTCACAGTTTTATCATGCTCCTCCTCCTCCTCCTCCTCCGAGGGATCCGAACAAGCTGCCGAGCGATGAGAACACTGTACCGGCTCTGTAATTCTCTAAGTTGTTGTGAGAAATTGGAGCGGTTGAGATCGCCTAAACTTAGTCGCAAGGAGAAAGTCTCGGTGCGTAACGGCCGCGAAGCGGTTATTAGGAGTTTGAGCGATAATAACAGCGATATGGATTGAAAAGCTCGGAAAATATTACAAGTTTCAACTCAAACCGAAACGCTTTTATCCATTCTAAACGGGACCAGAGTTTTTAAAGTCCGAACAAAAGAAGTGTAGTTGAGGATAAGCCATTTTTCAAGATCTAAAAGTTTTCAGCTTAATTCTTCAGATAACAGCCTTCCAAATAGTCTTCTGGCCATATTCTTAGCTAGAATGAAAATAAGTTTAAACTCACATTCCACTGATCGCTTCCAGTCCTTTGTTACCTCCGCCACCTTCGCCTCCGGCTGCAGCTCCACCTGAGTCTCCACCTGAGGCTCCACCTGAGGCTCCACCTGAGGCTCCGCCGGCAGCACCTCCGCCTCCGCCTTCGCCTCCGCCTTGCTCCTGAGCTGTAACAGCCAACAGCACAACCGAAAGCAGCAGCAAGACGTTCCAAAAGTTCATTTTAGAACAAACAAAAATCCACTTGACATGGTTGACTGTGAACTTTTATGTCGCTCTGAACTCCCACATTTTAGAGCTCAATAAAGTCAGATAGTCTGGTTTTATCTTTGAAAGAAAAGAAGAAAAAAACAGGAGTTTTTAATGTACAATGTGGAAAGAAGGAAGAGGCTCAGGTGAAGAAGGCGAACCGGCGGCGGAAGTCGTCTGTAAATGGGAAGAAATTTGAAGACGTATTACATTTTTGGTTCCGTGATTTTATACTCAATTGATTATTCTGTTTATGGGAAATGCATGAGAGCGTTGCGGCAGGAGTCATTAGCCGGTTTTGAACTTCTTCTGAAGCTTTTCGCGCAAGTCGCTTCAGGTCGGGCGCATTTTCAAGCCACTGCTGTGCAGCCTTTAAGCCCCAGCCATGAATGAAATATTCACACTTAAAAAGCATGCCGAGATTTTCTTCCATCACAAAAAAAAAACTCACCTGAAGGACCGCGGACTTTGCTGCGAAAAGTGACGTCAACTTGTTTGTCGAGGTTCCAGCCATCTGGGATTCCGACGAGACCCCGTGCTCGTGGCGCCTCTCTTGGCCAGTCCCAAGGCTCGGCCGAGTCAGAAGACGTCGGCGGCTGGGTGAAGGCTTCAGGAGGCGGCGGACTTGGGGCAGAAGGTTCGGAAGACGTCGTCGTCTCGTCTTCGAAGTCATCTTCTGACGTCATTGACCTTTGTGTCGATGAAGAGGACGTCTCCTAGAGCTTTGGATTTTTAGAAGCGAGTTGAATTCGTTGCAGAACCCATAATGAAATTCAGAACTTTGAAAATGGGCCTAGATCAGCTAGCAAGATTAATTTCTCACGTTCTCCTTAGAGTTATTAAGATCAACTACACGTTTCAGAAGAAAAAATAACTTCTGCGGAATCAGAAGAAAGGAGTATTAGACGATTTCTAGGTGAGTTGGGAAAAGACTATTTGGAATATTTCTCACCCCATCACGTAGGGAGCCTCCGAAAACGTCTTTAGCTGCGGCCATGTCGAGCAGGATATCTTCAGAATCGTCAGTCCTACAAAATATATCCAAAAGAATCTCCAAGCATAACTCACTTTTTCGATACGACAATACCAAAAACAGCTAAAAGAATCAGAAACGACCTCATGTCGAGAAGAAAAGAGAAGAAACTATCAAAAAAACTCAGGTAACTAGCTGTTATCAATTACCTATGAACCGGTTTTCAAGCGAAAGTCAATTGAAAATACCCTTCTAGAGTTGATTTTTTGAGTGGAAAAGTTTTTTTAATAAATAAATTTATTCGTGTGAAATAAATAAGGGAAAAAAGTCATTAAGGGCACAAAAAAAGGACATAAAGCGAATCAAGAAAGGTTAAAAGCCGACAATGCTTACACGCGCCGCAATTGGTTAAACCGAACGTGAAGTGAAGCTCAACAAATGAAACATTGAAAAAGAAATGATTGAATGAATGAAAATCACCTGTCGCAGACAAAAGAAGAACTGGATAAGAAAATAATATTTGCCTACCTAAAAAGTTCGATTGAGCACAATTCGAAAAAAAAAGAAATTGATTAGATAACAGAAATATAAAATACATAATGCCAATTATGCATATCTACACAGAAGGAACAAAAATCGGGAAAATAAATATATTTTTGAAATGATTTGCTCAGAAAAACCGTCGGTGAATGGCTTGAATTCCAGCGTCTTCGTATTCTTTTTTGCCCAGCCAAATTTTGCGGAAAGTGTCCAAACTCGCCACGATTGAACCGCCGATCCAGGTGGACATTCGTCGTTCCTAAAATCATATATTTTTTTATTGACACACTGAAATTTTTAAACATATTTAATTACAACTCGATCATTATTATCAGAGCAACATTTTTTTTGAAAAATTTTGAAACTGCCTTTTTCTCTCTAAACTCTCGTTTACCAGTGCTCTCTACTTTAACAGATTCGAACGTGTTCGAAAAGATTCCGCGAAATTCAAAATAACCGTCAGAGAGTGGGAAAAAAACTAAGTTTTGTAGAGTCAGATAAAAAAATTACATTTTTCGAAAATTGCTTTGAACATGCCATTGAATCTTTCAAAGTACGTAATATTCAAAGCGCTCTAAAATTAACTCTTGAAAAATACTTTCAAACGTTTCGTAACAAAATAATCTCACTTGTGGGGCGGAGATACGGATTTTGCCGTCGGGCGGTGAGAGTTTTTTAACCTGAAAACCGAAGGAAATGTTATTTTGTGAAGGAAAACTGGTCAAAAACCTCAGAAAGTAGCCGGTCGCCGAATCCTTTGAACAAAGTTGTGCCGCCGCTCAACACAATATTCTTGTAGAGTGTTTGTCGGAGGTCGACGTCGCATTTCTGGACTTTTGAAAATTTAAAAAGATTCATGATAATTTCGATGATTTCCATTCAAGCAAGGACGTAGTTGTTCCAAAAAGGCAGTTGATCTCGTCAAAAAAGGAACTTTATAAAGCTTTAAAGATATTTTTTCACAGATTTGGTTGGATTATCGATAATTGTAAGTTGAACAAAAGGCTTCTGAACGATTTGAACCGGTTGGAAAATATTTTCGAACCCTTACTCACCATAATGGAATTGTTGACCAGGTGCGCGACTCCTTGATACTCGGAGCCGATCAAATCCGGCCGGAAAAGGATTTCAGGCGCCCGGAAACGACAATTTCCTAGGTCGATTTTAGAGTTGTCGGGCAATCGGTAGGCGGCCTGAAAGTTGTGGGAAATAATTTATGAGGAGAGTTGGCTTACAAAAAAACTAAAAAGGTTTTTAAATTAGTTATAAAGGCGGTAGTGTTGAGCAAAAATAAAAATTATTTTTTAAAAGATACAGATTTTAATTCAGGAAGATTTGGGAGATTAGCGACAGCCCTTAAAAAAGATGTATATTCGAAAGTTTCAAGTTTAAAGCACGCTTGTTTTCCAAAATACCTCAGTGGCGTTGCTCTCCTCCTTGGTCGGGTTGTTGGTAATGTAGCACATCTCCTCCTTGATCTCGCGGACGATTTCGAACTCGTTGCTCTGATGCAAATTGCAGCCTTCTTTGCGCAGAAGGATCCGAAGCCAACGCGTCACATCGCGACCGGCAACGTCCATTCGCTCGATACTGTAATTCAAGCTTTTCAGAAGTTGGTTGAGGTTTTTCTTAAAATAACTAGGCTAATTATCATAGACAATGGGAAAAGATCTTCTTTAGATACAAAAACAAAGGCAAAATGCAGAAGGACCTAACAAGAACCTTTGGAATAAAGGCCTCACAGGACTTTTTCTATGGGCTTTTTTAGCAGAAAAATTAGTATGAGGCGGAAAAAAGAGGAGACTCCGAGAAACTTTACACTTTTTTAAAAACTGAAAAAAGAGCTCTAGCCTTTTCTTTCAAGGCCTTTTGAGGCCGTTTGGACTTTGCCGTGTAAATGGACCGCAAAAATGTCCCAAATAAGATATTTCCAGCGGCTACTTTGCTCCTTTTTAGCCTCTTTTCAAAAGCTTTTTTGAAGAACTGATTTCTAGACTCTGCGAACTTACAGAAAAGCTAGAAATTAGGAGTTAAAAAAAAAAACGCGAAATAGCCGTTTAAAAAAATGCTCTTTAAAAAAACTTTTTCTTCCATGCCCAGTTAAAGATTTGAAGTTGCATAAAATATATATAATTTAATCATAACTCAAAAATTTCTTATTGCAAAAATAGAAAAAAACTAACGCGTGTTTCATGGCGAAACCTTTTACGATAGGAACGACATGAGTCACCCCATCGCCAGAGTCCAAAACTACTCCCGTCGTTCTCCCTAAAAAAATCCCCTTAAAAAAATCAAATACTTTCAAAAAACCTGTCGCATATAAGGATAGCACTGCTTGCATTTGAATATACAGGGCCGGAACGTTGAAAGTTTCGAAGAAGATTTCCGCAGCCTACAAGGAAATATTTATAACTACAAATTTGGATCAACTGACCTTTTCCTTGTGCTTGAGGGGGTTCAGAGGAGCCTCAGTCAGTAGAACAGGATGTTCTTCGGGGAAAATCTGAATCTCGATAGAACTATAACTTTCTTGTCGCGGAAAATATTACGTGCAACTGTTCAGAACTGTAGATGTACTCCCAAATCTTCTCCATGTCGTTCCAATTGTTCACGATTCCATGTTCCATTGGGTAATCGAGAAGGAGCAAACCGCGATTCTCTTCTGCTTTCTTTCCTTAATAAAATTATTTGCAGAAATTTTCGAAATCAATTTTACCAATAAAAATATCGCCTTCAAGACCGCCAGCCATCACACGGGTGTGTTTCGGCCGTCCGACCAAGTTTGAAAAGCAAATCTTAAATAAACATAAAAAATAAAATTAATCATCACATCAAAAAGTACCTTTGGTTCTTGTTCGCCGGCGAATCCGGCTTTGATGATTCCCGAGCCATTGTCGATTACGACTGGCTGGTTGGCAATCACGTCGTAATCCATATTTGGTTACCTATAAAATCCAGAAAAATTTAAGCAGAAAAAGGAGAGTGAGGAAATGCGAGTCTTTAAAATTTATGAGGAAACATTTCGAATGAATCGTATTTTCTTTGGAAAGTTTTATGATTTCTCAATCCTAATAACGATCAAAGATAGCTTGAAATTGTTGAAGTTGGATTTAATATAAAAGAGAAAATTTTCGAGCGGCTTTTTTTGATGAGCTGCGGACAATGTTGCGAAATCGACGAGCAATGTACGCATACACGATGAGAAGAATGATACCGTAGCTTGAAAATAAGAATTGCTCTTTTTTCTTTCTGATTGTTTTTCTTCCATTAAGAAAATTTTCAATACTAACAAGAATAGATGCAAACATTTTTGAACTTTTTATTTATTGAAATATATACAAACAAACAACCGTAAAAGTTAAGAAAAAGAAATAAGGCAAAACAGGAAGTTACAGGCCAACAAATCACTAACACTACTGAAATCTGTCAAACTTGTACATCAAAAATTCAATGGAAACAAATATAAACGAGTTCAGTTTGCAGCAGCCCACTGCTCCAGCTCCTCCATGGTGTTCATCTTGCGGATCTTCTCGCGACTGGCACGAGCACGTGTGACCGGGCCGGCAGGAACTTCAGGTAAGGCTGTTTCCGGAAGAGGAGCCACGTTCTAAACATTCTGCGATCAGAAAAAAAAAGATTCTCAGATTCGCTTACGTCCTGAAGTTCTTGAAGCTCTTTGAGGAGGTCATCCTCGTCGACGAGGTCGCCAATCGGCCGCGAAATCGCTTCGTTGAGCTCTTCGGACGTCGCGAGGCCCTCGGCGATGTCGTCCATCAGGTCGGCGACCTTGTCGATGTCCATGTTCATATTCGCTTTTTTGAGCGCTTCGTTGGTCTTTCCAAGAACGTCGAGAACTTCGCCGTGCATTCCGACGTTCTCCAGCGCCGTTCTCTGGCCTTCCAGTTTTGTGAGGACCTAGAAAATAAGTTAAAATGAAAAATTATGGGAAAATCACGCACTCCATCGATTCTTCCCAGCTCGATTTCGTGCAACTTCTTTCTTTTCAGCGCCGCCAACGCCATTTTCTTGTTAGTTTTGCTGTACTTCTTTGCAGCTTCGGTTTCCTGAAATTTTGAAATTTAGATCTTCAACAAATAACACAGAAAAGTCAAATAATATTATCTTTGATTGATAGCCAAGAATTCTGATTTTTTTCTCTTGGAAATTCAAAGTTCGATGAGATGCTATTAAATTTTTTTACATTTTTTTGAAAAAAAGTCAACTCACACTGGCGATTTTTCTGTTCGTAGTAGTCTTGTTTCTTCAACAGCAACTCCTCAGCTTCCTGAAATTCGTTTTTTTGAAAATGTAAATTTCAATCAGGTAAACCCTGAGGTTGTTGATTGCTTCTTCAGCCGACGGGCCTTTCCTTTTTCGGCTCGTTTCTTTGAATTTCTTCTTTAGTTTGCTCGCTTCAGCGTGCACCCGCTCCAAAAACGCCGACATCTGAAATTGCTCTTAGACTTAGAAAAAAATTAGATAAAAACGCAAAAAAAAAACAAAAAACTGAGAAAAAAAGTTATTATTATAAACCAAAGTGATTTAAAGTCTGCAAGTCTAAATTGTGAAAAGAGAGGTAATTTTTTTTAACTTTCATCTATAAGATCCTTACAGAGAAATGTTGGCGAACTCGTTTTCGAGAACATTGATCGCTCAACATCAAGAAAAAAGAAAGAAAAGAACAGATAAAATCGAAGCAAATAGTTGGAAGAAAATCAATTGTTTTGGCGCCTTGCCTCGCCTCAAAATCTTCGGAGGCTCAGTCAGAGAGGGGAAGAGAAGTGCGAGAAGACAGAGAAAAGAAGACAACGAAAGGACATTTCGCTTTCAATTTGCTGAAAGAACAGCGAAAAAAATCGCTCCAGGGCTCTTCTATCCAAAAACTCAAGAGAGGAAATTCCTAGCTTTAAATAATCGAATAACTTACGCAATATTTTTCCCCTTGACTCATTTTTGAGGTTATTGACGTCATAGGGTTGTGCAAATTCGTAACGACCTTGAAAATTTAGTAGAGTGAATCAGTTAAATTTTGTTTGTATAAGAATAAAGCTCAACTAGGAGAATTCAGAAAAAAAAACAGGTTCACTGCGCTCGTTAAAGTGCCAACACAAAGAAGAATAAATTTTTTCCGAACCCACCCATACGGAAAAAATGCCCGTTGATGTGTCTTTTTTTGACTGTAAACAGCGTAAATGCGATTATACTTCCCTACGTACATGGAGCATCATAAAAGCAAAATAAAGCTGAACAAAGTGAAAAAGCAGTAAATTAGATTTAAAAAAAATTTTATTTGCCACTAAAACGGAGTAGTTTCACTGAAAGCGTTCAAGAGAAACAAAGTGAATGTCGCCGATTTTTCTCACTTTTTATTTGAATAAATTCTCAACGCCATTCCCATCAAAATTGAATGGCGTAAATATTTACGCAATGCGCTAGTGAACCGTATGAATGTTTTTGTTCTTCAAAGATGGTTTCCCAACCTCTGTAAATTTCAAATTTTAAAAACTGTGCAGCGTTTTTTAAACTAACAGTACTATTTTTAAATTTTTTTCCAAGTTTTTGGAGGCCTGATCAAAGGATTTTAATTTTCGAGTGCTGTAACGCTCTGATGCCGCAAGCACAGCTGTTGTGTGCGGAACATTAAGCAATTAACCTCACGACAGTTCCTTAATTTCCGTTATTTTTCTCTTTATTTTTCTGTTAAGTGTGTTTTTCCTATTCATTCTTCAATATTTCTCTCATATGTTATTCAGATATGCGCGAAATTATGTTTGTATCCGTTTTATTGGTATCCTGCATGCCTCTAGTTAGAGCAGCCACGGAGGTACTTAAAAATTAAATTGACAACCCTTTAAACTTTTTTAAGGCTAATTTTGAAAATATCCGTTGTCGCTGTGTCTGCCCAAGTACTATGTACTTTTCGGACGCTGAAAATTCTACTGACGATGCGGAAAGTAACCATCGAAGGTACTACACGAAAACAAATCTGGAACCTGGACTCTGGTGAGTTTTTTTTCCATGTTTATTTAATCTTCTACCTGAAAAGTTGTTTTCAGTAATCCGCAAACGGTAGTTCGAAGTGAGGTGACAAGGTATGTCGATAATACGCATATGGATGCATTTTTGGCAAACTGTGACTGCCGGAGTGAATCTCGCAACACGGTTTTATTGAAGGTTTCTTTTTCAATTGTCTTTGAATTTTTCTCTTTATTTCGCATTTAAAGGTCGTCGTGATATTTGTTATATGTGTGATTGCCGTTTTGACCGGTTACATGACTTTCCTAATGTGTTTGGATCCGATGTTGCGGAAAAAGAGATTCGCGGCGCCTTATCGTCAACAGACCGAAGAGGTTTGCTTGGTTTTGAAATTTTATTTCTAAAAAATTTTCAAGATGGAAAATAACATTTTTGCGGCGCCATCGCAAGTGCCTAGCGAGGTCAACATTATCGATAGTTCGGTGATGGATCCCGAAGGGACCACTAGAGCAAGAAACACTGCAAGTATGCTTTTCTATATTTATTGACAGAAATGGAACTTCACCGTTGAGTTTTCACGTTGATTATCGATTTACAGACGTCCTCGGGCGCGTGGAAGCAGAGCAAAATCGTTGGATGCGGAAAGTTGAAGAACAGCGCAGAAATATATTCGAAGATCACACGATGCTCAACTGAGCAGGTTCCTTTGTACACTATTCCTTCATTCAATTGTTTGTACATTCTTCTTCCAAATAATTTTATCGTGCAAGCCATTAACCTGTGATTTGATACATCTAGTCGTGACATATTGGTGCAAGTATTTCAAAAATGATCAAAGTAGTGAGAAGTAACCTTTTTCTGAATCAGAAAGCCCTTCTTGAAGTTTTTAGAATGCATTTCGATCGCTATTCTTTTTCTATTTGAACATCATACAACCTTAGTGGAAAAATTTATTTTCCATATAAGCGGCCTTTACTCATAAACAGAGTTTTTATTTTTTAACACCTGTGTTTTTGGTTTAAAAAAGGTTTTATAAGCTGAAAAGGACAAAAGAGACGCATGAAATTTCTACTGTTCATCCTCGAACTCCGCTACCTTTGCAGCCTTCTTGATCAGAGCGACCAGAGTTCCAATCATTATCGTCGACAATCCTAGAGTCATCTGAAACTCTTCCTTCTCCTCGGAAAATTCACCGTGCTCAAACCATCATACTGTATGCGGTTTTGTGAATTTCATGCTCCGAGGGATCTTCTTTCGCAGTATCCACGTAGCCCCAAATGCAGAAAAAGCCCAAACTGCCCAAGCAACAGATGTTCGAGCCGACACACAAGCCGACCGTGATCAACACCTGAACTCTCATGATCGAATGAATAGTTTCAAAGGTCGAATGTACAGGCATCGGGTTGAGGCCGCTTCTCAACTTGACTAGAGAGAAAGCAAAAAGGCCGAAGGCCAGTAGCCCTGTGATTCCAGCGAAGCATCCAGCAACCACTAGCTGAAATTGATTTACAACTCTTGTGAAGCTTTTTCAAAAAAAAAAGTTGATGAAAAGAACTGAATGCTTCAAAATTCCTTGGTTGTTTTAAAGAGCATAAAAAAGGTTTCGAAGAATTTCATTTTGGGTCTCTCCTCCTTTAAACAACGGATCGACTATTTTCATTCAACCACTTTTAAGTGGCCACAGTGTTTCAAAACAGGCGAGCGCGTTAAAAAAAAAGTAAAGTGGTATAATCAGTTTCTTCAACTTCAATTTCAGAATGATCCAGATTGGGCTGAGATTAAAAAAAAACTAGAGACTTATCAACAACCATTCAAATTCAGAAAAAAAAAATTTCATTCTCTGAGGAATCTGTGGACTTTCCAATAGATTTTGTTGAAATGTTGAGGGCAGGTTGAACGGATTTCACTGACTAACTAGACTAAATGCCAATTTCAATTAATTTATAGAGATTTTTAAGCCTCAGAACACTCTAGCAAGAAACTTTGACCTTCAGAAAGAATATTCTTCTAAAAACGATTATTCCGAGATAGTTTGAAATGTCATTTTCACATTTAAGCTTGGTCAAAATATCAGTTTCATATCCCCCTTTATTTCTTTCGAACTCAACGCACCGATGTCGTTTTCCCTGTGTCCTTAAGAAAATGATTGAGAAGGTAGAATTCTATAAGAAATCCGAGTTGTACTACCTAAAAAGGTTGTTTTAATTGGTAAAACTAAATATTCCTCACGAATATTGCGAAAAGAACGTGCACATGAGGAACTCTCATCATGGACAAGGCGAAAAAATAAAATGACAAGAGATTAATCACTTTTTCACGGTTTTTTTAAACGCTCTAGCAAACTTTTTTTTGCCGTGTTCAATTTGATTCCGCGAAATGCAAAATGATCTCTGACTCTCCGAAATCTAGTGATCTTTTTCTTTCTCTAACGGGTGTTTTGCATTTCGCGGAATTAAATTGAACACGGCATTAATTGTTTCACTTTCAGAGAAGGAGGATCGAATATCCAGAATTTTTTGATCTAACTCAACGTGTCCTACCACCAAAATAGACATTTTCGGTTATTTACAGGCAAAAATGTAAAAAAGTTACTAACATTAGAGAAATTGTGTTATAGGTGATTCCGCGCCAGCTTGTCACGATTTTAATTTTCCTCGGAGCTACAGAACGCCTTTCGGTGCTTCGCTTCGATAAAGCTTAATTCCCAGTCTAACTTTCATATTCTTTAGTGCTGAATTTTGCGCGGCTCGCGTGCATCTGCACGGTTTTCGCGCCCAAAATAGGTCGAGCCGGTCCATTGGCACTCTGCCAGACAGGGTAATGAGAGGGACTGGCGCTGATGACCTTAGACACGTCCTGGCGTCTAGTCTTCAGCGTCACTTACTCCGTGAAGACATGTGGCGGATGACGCTTACCCGATTGCGCCATTTTTTTTTTTCGCTTAGCACTATTTTTTGATTTTACTTTTGATTTTCGCTTTTGGAAAATTTTTTTTGCTGATCATAAGAACACTCCTTATAAAAAGACGATTTCAATCCCCATGTTCTTTCTTTCAAGGAAAAAAAAATTTTCAACGTTTCAAATTTATTTTTTTCCTACGGCAAGTCGTTTCTCTTCGTTTTTGCGTGAGATTGTTTGCCCTGTCTGCAATCTTTCAAAGCGCGCGTAAAATTTTTTTGTGAAATTTTCCAGCCCTCAAGTTTTCTCTTTGCTTGTTTCGCTTTGTTGAATAACTTCTACTTTTTTCAGTGTTATATATTATAAAGTTCTGTAAAATAAAAGCATGGCGCCTTCGCCGCGTAAAAATCCTGTCAGCCGTTCTCCAAAAAAGCTGGCAACACCAACAAAAGCCACTCGAACATCGCCTCGCAAAAAGGCTTGGGCAACTCCACCGAAGGCCCAAAATCCATACATTTCTTCTTTCTTCGTGGGTTAACGGTTGTACATGTTTTCTTAGTTATTTTTCTTGAAGAAAGAGGAAGATTTCTCACCACTTTCCAACAAATCGTGGGCCGAAATTACTGAAGAAGATTATGATTTGTCTGAAAGTCTGATCAATAATGCCCGCGAAAATGAAGAAACAACCCGCAAGTCAGAGTCTCGCAGAAAGGCTGCACTACCAAAAAAGGTTCGTTAATTTTGTTGATGAAACTTTAAAAAAAAAAAATAATTTTACCGCACAGTGCATAGTTTGAGTTTTAAAAGTCATATAGTTTTTTTTAAATTAGAAACCTATATTCAGTCAACATATAAAATTTCTCTCGAGCTAGATAATCTAAAAACTTTTTCCAGGTTGCCGAAACCAAGCCAAAGTTTACACGCTCCCTGGAGCTCACAAACGCTTTATTCAGTAATTCATCAAGCAGACGATCAACCCGTATCAAAGAAAAAGTCACTGAAGTCACACATGTTGAAGTATGCTTTTTGGCTGTTTTCGAAATAATCCTGAATTATTATAGGTGAAAAGAACAACGATCGCAACGGAAGTTGTCGAAGAAAAAGGGACGAGGAACCGTAAAAGGCATCTTTCGACAACTTCGACAGTCACGGAGGAAATTTCCCCGGCCAAACGCCGCACTCCGCACAAAAACGAAGAGGCTCAGTCGGGAAAACCTGCGCGCAAAACTGCCCGCGGTGTTGCTGAGGTAGCTGCTGTTTTTTTGAACTAGGCTTATCTTGTTGCGAAGGCATTCGAGGATTTTTGAAGATTTATACCAGACAAAATATTCACTACGTTTCCATGTGAAAAATGGGTCAAAATTTTTAAAAGTCACCGTTTTTTTATATGGAGAGAACTCATGTTTTGTAATTTCCATGTCTGCGTCTCCAAAGTTGAGTCCTCCTTTCCACTCTCTGACGGCCATCCTGAACTTCGCATAATAACTTTGCACATGACATCAGTTATGATCACAAAGTTCATCGTTTTCTAGTTCTCTTATCAGTATTGTAGTTATTTCTGGTCTCCAGTTTATTTTCGCCAGACTTATTAGTACAAACTATTACTTCGATAGGTCCAAAAAGGTTTGTTATTTTCAGAACGGCAAATCTCCAGCTCGCGTCCGTCTCTTCAACTCAAACTCGACGTGTTCTTCGGTCCCAGGCAGCCCTTCGTCGCGAAAAGACCACTGGGTCGAGCCGAAACTCGGCTGGTGTACTGATGAGGCGACCTTGCAACGTCGCGCTCGCGTTTGTCGTCTTCCAACTCTTCAATGAACAGTTTCGGCCTTTATAGGAAATCGAGAAAGCCAAGGAAAAGCCCGTCTATGTCAAGTATACGACTGAAATCCCATTCAAGAAACGTATCCATGGAATTCATCCTCGGACACCTAATAAGGAGATCAATTTTAGTCGTCGTAGCTGGGATCAGCAGGTGACTTTGGAAAAAAAATAATGGATTCAATTTCGAAAAGATGAAAGAAAAAACTTGTGGAAGATGTATAAATTAAAGTATTGGGATTTTTTCAGTTTGAATTTTTTAGAGATCTTGCCTTGCAGATCGAATTGAAAAACATTTCACCATAAAATTTAAATTTTTGGCTGATAATTTTCGAATGAAGTGTAATTCAAATCTCAAAACTTTCAGAAATGTCTTGGGTCGAAAATAATGTTATCAAAGTAAGTAAACGAAGTATATTTGTAGCTTCGTTTAGAAAGGCAAGGTCTATTAGCCAATTTTCTAGAGACCACTTAAAGAAAAAAAAAATTCTGAATGTGTTGAAAGGAGTTGGAGCATTTTGAAGACTCACGGATCTGATGAATGAGGTGATCTTGAAGCGATGTGGTACCCCTTTAAGTTTTGAAAAACGAATAAAATGTTAGAGTACCAAACCTCCTTACTAGGGAACGTTGCCGAGCTCCAAAGTCCGCAAAATGCGCAAATTATGAAAAAAAGCGTTATTTCAAGCTTTTGAAGCGTCCTAATTAAAAAACGAGATCTATAAAAAAGACGTTCCCTAGTGAATGAAACGGAACTCTATTTAATTTTCAAGTGTTTCCAATCTCAAACTCGAAAACTTTAAGATGCGTCAATGGAAGCGCAGCTTGTACACTTGGGCCGGAGAGGAGCCTTCAGATTCTGTGAACACGTCGTTCTGCAGCTACACTTCTGAAGAATCGGCAGCTTCGGACAGCAAAGTCAATCTGGAAAATGTTCCAGTCTTTGCCAATATTGATTTGCATGTGCCAGTGAGTTTCGAATGATCTTATGAAAGTGCAGTCTTTTTAGGAAATCCATAGATCTTTTAAATAAATTTTTTTTTGTGGTCAACGTATAGTGGAAATCACTGTAGTTTTGAAAAATCGAGATTTGAAGTAGGAATTTAAGATTGAAATCAGAAAAATAGAAGAACATACAAAGAACCGTTATTTTTAAATAAAATAAAAATAAAATATTGGCAGGTCCGACCGGAGACAGACACGATGGCGTCGCTTCTGGGCAAGTTTGATCTTGACAGTCGCCATGGAGCGACTATGTCTGCTGACGACAGCACTCTGAAGGCTCCGGCGCCCGCTTTTGACCCAAAAGCGCCCGTCGACTTCTCTTCTCTGAACAACAAAAAGTAAAAAAGAAGAAAAGACCATCCGTTCATCCTCTGTGTATTTTTTCTAATATTAAGATTTTTTTTTTGAACTCAAATTACTTGTTTTCTATTTATCCAGCTGTATCAATTGCTCATATTCCACCCTTCCTCTCGAATTGTGATGATGTCGTTTCTTTCTCCAACGCTCGAAAGTGTATTTATATTTGATTGTTTTGAAGAAGTTTGCAGCCTCAAAGGGCCAATCAAAGTGTGTTTTAGCATGTTCTTCTTTTCTATTTTGTTACTTTTGATACGCTAATATGGATTCGACGCGAATAAAATGTTCTCTTGTGCGTCTATTTTCTTGTTTTTTTTTTTTGCTGAACCTTGTCGAATGCTCTCTGATTATCACGATTTGGTGGGATGCTTATCAGGACGTCATGTCGATTTCTTGTCTGCTCTTTTTGCACCACTTGTTTTTTTTAACAAAAGAGAAATCTCACGGAACTTGCAAATATCTCAGAATTTTTTAAAAGACGTCCGAGCAAAAAAAAAAAAGAAACCCCTCTACTTTGGAATTTCTAAAGAGTTTGTACTTGTGAACTCGGGGGCTCGTTTATTTTTTGCCGCGCATCGTAGTTTCGAGTTCAGAAATCGGGCCTCTCTCAGTTCTCGGATTTCAATTACACGGAGCCCACCGCGATAAACAGACGAAATTGAAGATTTCTCCTAATTGGATGAGTCCTCAGGCGCTAATTGCAGTTCTCTTTTTTTTAGTCATGCGGGTGGAGGCTTCAGGTTCGTGGAAGTGTTTTTAGATTCGTAGAAGTTCTTTTCCGAGTCTCGACTAATTGTTTCATGAACAATTATAAGAGGGAAAAAAAAATGATTGGCGTCGTTATTTGAAGTTCATGATTTGAAACCCAGAAAAGCTCATCGTTTTGGAACTTTTATAAAAATTATAATCCGAAAATTGAATTTTCTGAAGACAGACTGTTGTACTGAAAATTCTTAAATTTTTTTTCAATTCCGGTTTTTCTCAAAATCAATCGGGAACAGTATTGATCGTAAGCTGGATTAACAACGAAATAGCGAAAAACATTCTCTGTGACTATTTACAACCTCGGAATTTCAACGGAACTATCCAGAATTGGAAGTCTTTCCGTCCAACCAACCGAATCAAACTCTGACGCGAAAAAAGCAATTTATTTCGTCAACAAAACGTTGCTCGACGTTTCAAAAAAGAACGATGTTTTGTTTGGGAACTCGCAAATTGCAGGGAAATTGCCGCTTTTCCGTCGAACAATTCAACGAGCGTGTTCAATTTTTTTTCGTCGCGACCCACGTTTATTTTGTTCAAATCCTTTCAATCTTTGTTGAGAGATATTCGGACCATGGGAAAGTTCCCAAAGCTGTGACGGATCAAAAATGACATAGATACAAAAATGACTGCTCTAATAATATATTTCACACGAGAAACTTTGCTTTTCCCAGCCTGCTAATTATTCCTGTGTTTCAGAGTGAATACAAATTTTCAGTCTGTTCTTTGTTTTTTTTATTGTGATCTTTCTTGTTTTTTTGATGGAATGGTCTTTTCGGAGAAACTTTTTTGGCTCGTTTATCGGAGGAACGGAAAATGTTTCAAAACGAAAAATAATTTTTATCAGCGCCTGAAATTTGCTTCGAAACAGTACTAATTTTTATTTTGGACAATTTTCATTTTGCTCGATAAACACGTATTTCGTATTTTTAGGGTGTATAAAATAGTTTATATAGAGCTGTTTTCAGATTTTTTTGGGATTGATGCGCGTTTCCAAGGGAAGCTTTTTTTAAAAATCGTTCTAGAACTTCCCCCGACTGTATAAAAAAATAGGTCTTTCAGGATGCAAAAATGTGGCAAATGCTTCTTTAAAAAGTTCTAGAGCCAGCCAATCAATCTATAAAAGTGAAGAGATTATTTAGGAATCAAAAATGAGGCGAATTTCCCGGAAATGGATCACTACTACCTGTAAGTCTCCTAAGAAACCACTTCACTGGTCACTTTTATCAATGGTTTTTCAGGATTAAAGGGCACTTATAGCTATGTCATGAAGAATATTAGAAGGTTGAAAGCTGAAAACTGTGCAATCTAAAAGTTGACTTTTCCTAAAGGGGCACGAAAAGGTTTTTCGCTCGATCCTTATGATTTTTTTCAATTTTTTTCAGTTCAAAAAGTTTTTGCTTCTTCTTCGATCGACAATTTCTCTCAGTGGTCGAACCTAAAAAGGTATGATTTTATTCTGATATTGCAAAAAAAGACTGTTTTTACCTTCAAGTCAGACCTTTTTATGAGTCTACTTTGATGTCTGGAAACTTCCCTGCCTAATTATAAAAGCGATGACGCGAATAGTATATAAATTAGGCTTGCAGACAATTTGCATGAATTATTCGCCCTTTTTCCGTTTCGCAATTCAAATTTCCCTCGAAAAAAAACAAAAACCCTTCAGAAAGTCGCCTTTTCTCATAACTTTATAATGATTGCTTCTCACGTGTGCACACACACGCATTTTTAATATATTCGTGGAGAATGCGAGAAAAAAACGCTTGAAACGAAGGAAAAGCGCGCGACCGACGATTATTACGTTTTTTTCGGTCCTTTTCCGTGTTTTTGAGTGCTTATGAAAATTATTACTAAGCTGAGATGTTGGTATGGAAGGTTCATTAGCGTGGAACAGGGCGATTAGAGAAAAACATAGGGAATATATAAATATGTACCTCATTTTTAAGCTTGTCTAGTTACCTTACGAGGAAGGTGTTTCTACTTTGCACTTTAGGATTTCGGAAAAAATTTTCCAGGAAACTCTTTGAAGTACCATATAAAGTTATTGACCCTCTCAAGCTTTACAAGTTTATAATTTTCGAAAAAATAGGCTGAAAATCCGAGAAAACCATCGAAACCCAGTTGAATGAGCCTTTTTCCTTGAAAACTGAGAGGCTGTGCAAGTTTTCTTCTTTTTTTTTGTTCATGAAAAAGTTTTCTGAGCATCTTTCAGCGAACTTTGAACGTCAAGGGCTAATAAACTTCCTTTTTAGGTTCTTCTAATTGATAAAAATTGATACTTAAAGATCCAAAGAGACATCGACGAAATTCATGATAAATATCAGTTTTTGCTCCTTCCTGAACCGAAGTAAGCTATTTTCAACGGATTATTGGATTCAAAATTAAAAGAGCCATCAAAAATTTAAAAACTGCGATTTCTTTTCTACCCGTTAAGGTAGGGACCGCAGGCCAATTTCCAAAGTCAGTGATATAAAGTTGAAACCTATATGAAAAAGAAAGCTGATGGCAATCAGGAGCTAACTGCGAAAAACAGAAAAAGAAAAAAATATGAAAAAAATGAAAAAAAGTTATAAGCAAAAAAAGTGGCGAAATCGGGGAACCATTTTTTTGTGTAGAAACTTTCGTCAGGGTCGCAGGAAAAAGGGGCGTGTTTATAGATGCCGCGCGCTCCTTGCTGTGCGTTAATTCACGCAGGAGACGTTTCGAAAACATATTTATTTGAGTTTTTTTAGAAGTTTTAAATGAAATATTAGAGTTTTCATATTGAATATTGCTCTTTTTTTCAATATCAGCCTACTCTTCAAGCACTCACGCTGCTGAAAAAGCGAGTTTTGAAGAAGGTTTCAATGCATTTCGTAACAAAAAGAAAAACAACCGACAAAATAGACCTTTGTGAAGGACGAACAGCATTAAACCGAATTGAAAAATGTAACAGTCTACTAAGAAATTTACTGAAAAAAATATGTAAATAATCACCAAGTCCTTTTTTTCAGAGAGTAAAAAAAGGGCGAAAAGCGTTTTTACTTTTGATTTTCTACTTCTTTTTATTTTTCTCTAAAGTTTGTGCGTCTACATGGAGTGTACGTAGACAATTTTTCAGAATTCTTTACTTGACATTCTGTAAAAAAATTCAAAAAAAGTTGAGTAAAAGCGAAATTTGATACTTTTCTCGCTGCTATAATGGATATAATGATATAGGAAAAAAAGATTCCAATTATGAAATGAGTAAAAAAGCAACTATAAAGCAACAATAAAACGAGAAAAACTTGAATAGAATACATAAATAGTTTTAAAAAACCTTCTTCACGCTTTCGAAAAAAATTTCGTGGCCTTCGCGGTGTCTGCAGATTCCCAGCGACGCGCAGTTAAAAAAATACTTTCGAGCGTTTAAATTAACCATACTTTTCGGGCCATCCTAGGAATTTTTTTATTTTTTGATATGTTGTAGAGAAATGTCTAATGTTTGATATTATGAAATAAAAAAACTTGCCCAGAACGCTTTGGGCCGTTTTCAAAGCGTTATAAAAAAACGAAAATTTTAAGCTTTCATATAAACTATATAATCGATGAAAAACCTTAGTTTTCTATTTTTTTAAAATTTGCAAAAAAACTTCAAACAACCGTTTAAAAAAATATAATCAGTAATTATCGATTGCGTTTTTTTCGAAAAATAAGGAATTTCGAAAAATCGTGATTTTCAAATTGCGTTATTTTTTTGAGGCCAACCATAGAATTTTTTTATTTTTTTTGCCAGAATATGCGTTTTTTTAGTTGCTTTTATGATATTCAAGAATAAAAAAAGTTGCCCAGAAACTTTCAAGAAAAAAACAGGGATTTTTTTATCCGTTTTCGGCCACAAATGCGTTTTAAAAAAACTGTCGTCGTACATTCTTATTTCTTATTTTTTTCAGTATTTTTCTTCTATGTAGGATTGTTAAGCATAGCTGATTGTATGTTTCCCCAACTTTTTCCCCAAATCGGTACAAGAAAAACTATTTTTAAAATATAAAAAAAGAACCAAAAACGCAACGAAAAATGACGAAGTTTTTTTGAACAGCGAAGTGGGCGTGGCTCTGCGGTCCCTACGTTAAGGCCTCGAAAAAGTTCACTTATTTTCATCCTCTTTGTTTTTTTGAAACTTTTTCTTACGTCTACCAGCGATTTAACGAAATCATAGCTTACAAAGCTATAAATTCGAGCCCTAATTATAACTTTCCGAAGTT